GACTGTCGGGTCTCGTACACCAAGTGGATTTGTCGAAGATCGATCTAGGTAGCGGGCATGACGTGGATGTAACAATATAATAGTACGCCACAGCCTTCGACACGTCCTGGATTACCCCGCTTCCCCTTTATTGCCCGCAGGACCGGCATGGGCGACATCTGGGGTTGTCCGGAGAATGGGGTTACCACTTCTTACCTTGGCGTAGGCATACCCAATCTCCAAACACTCCTTCTCTTTCTGTGGGCCTCATGGACCTCTTGGCTACGGCTCGTTACCGCTAGCTGAGCAATGGGCATGATACACTTTGGAGGGTATTACGAAATGCCAAGCCTGGAACTCATTTTGCTTCACGCCGGCATAACAGTATTTGCTGTGAACAAAACGCTGGTCTACATATTTCTTCAACGCACGACATGGCAATGGCTGTGGAGGTCATCTTTTGACGAGTGGTGAGGTTGATGGCTGGGCTAGATTGTAGCCTGGTCACCACTTGACTTGCTATTCTTTTCAAAGTGGATACCGAGTCAGCATTACGACAAATGCGATATTGAGCATCGAGACGAGCACATGATTGAGTTTTTCGTAGTAATGGATTCCAGGAACGAGAATTTGACGGAACAGACACGACGAAAAAAACACATCGCTGGGCTATCTGGATGAGCACGGACGCGGCGTCCAGCCAGTCTACTTGCAGTGACGGATTGAAAATGGGCTTGGCAGGTGAAGGCTCAGCGACGGTCACCTATTCCGGAGTAGGGAGTAGCCAAGGTATGGGGATGTTGGCTAAGACAATGGTTTTTTGCAGTGTGCGGTGTGGTGTTTGGCATTTGCTGTGGTGCTGGGAATGGACGGGCACCAGGACCAGAGTAGCCATGTCCGGATTGTGCAATGTGTGGCAGACTGGCAGGCTGACGAATGAGGGGTCATCTGACGGTGTTTATACGCAGTCTCTGGATGATAGGCGTACGCTGCTGCTCGTTGCTCGGTTTCGCCGCAGTCAAGGCAGTTTTCTCGAATGCGCCTAGCGGGCTGGGTTCGGGAGCTAGAACGTTCGAAACAGTGCCCTTCTCACGGCCAAGCAGATAACAGGTCCTAGGTCGACACTGACCCATGCACTTGCAGAGCCACGGAGACACCGGTTATGTGGGCATGAAAAAAAAGAGGTGTTGTGCTTGGCGCTCACGATGGTGTTTGCCAGTGTTGTGCTGGTGCTGGGCGGGCAGGCAGGAGTTTACCTACCGTCCACAATACACACACCACATATGATGTGTAAGTGTTAGATAGGTGCCATGATAACAACGCTGACAGAGTTTTACGCAGGCGTGTGCTGCGTGTGTACCATGGCAGCGCACTGTTCGCATAGGGCAAGTGAGCACGCAACGGCGGGCGGACTTGGATGTCGTCTTGTCGTGGGCGTGTGGCGATACCACCAACGGGTGGCTTCAGCAGCGCTAGCCCGAGTCAATGGCCAGCGCCGGCCGCTGAGCGCCAGCTTTCTGACATGCAGGCAAGGTTGCCGTTCACGCACGACCCGCGTGCCTAACGCGGGGCAACATGGCCGCGGCGGACCTTCACTCACTCTGCCATGTACCCTGGCGCCCAGGCCAGTGGGCTCCCAGTCCGCCGTATCGCTCGTCTGAATCGGTGCTGGACAGTCGGTCCGCCTGGCTGGGCTGGGGAAGCCTGACGACGTGCAGTCGGCGCGCCGTCGTGGACAAATACCTCAACACCAGCCTGCCAGCGAATTAAGAATAGGCTGGAAACTTGGCTCGCTTTTGCCAAGCCCCCAGCCAAGCCCCCTCGGACAGGGCCTGTCCCACCACCCCATCCTCCATCGAGAAGGAGATGTCGGCAAACACGCCTGGCGCACCACCACAACGCCCTCAGCCGAGCGGCCCTCACTGCCACACACGACCGGGCATTGGGCCTGCGGGCGCCGCCCTCCCCCACCACTCCACCAAAGCGGACGCTTGGCCGCCATGGGGTTGCTCGTATGCTGCAATCACGCTTCGCCCACAGCTTGTTATCAGCAGTCCCGTGGGCCGACTATTTGCTCCTCTCCGCCTTGTCGGTCTTATCACAGTCGGCTAATTATCACTATCTCTTGGGCCGCTCAGAGCCTTCACGCTGCCAGCCGCGCTTAAGTACATGGCCTATTTGAAGCCCACCAGCCCGCCCTTTCACTGACCCGTCAGCTGTGCCTTGGAGCTTCCCTCCTTCAAGTTTGTGCCCTGCTAACCCCGGTGCGGCCCTCCGCCACCACTTGTGCGATACAGAAGACTCCCATTCTGCTATCCGCATTGCCATCGCTTGCTCAACATGGCCATCACAAACCGCAAGACAAACTCCTCCGACGGCGGCTCGGGCAGCCCGGACATTGAGTATGGCGGCAAGTCCGAGTACCAGACCGGTGACGTGCGCGTTGACTCGGATGGTGTTGCTGTTCACGACGACAACAGCCACCTGCACCGTGGTCTCAAGTCGCGACACATCACTATGATTGCCATTGGTGGTGCCATCGGAACTGGTCTCATCATTGGTACCGGAAAGGCTTTGGCCCAGTCTGGGTATGTTACGCAGATCCCCAGCCTTGGCCTACAGCTAACAAGCCCAGTCCTGCCTCGATCCTCATTGCTTACACTCTCGTCGGTCTCATCGTCTACGTCGTCATGACGGCTCTTGGCGAAATGGCTGCTTGGATTCCCCACGCTTCGGGTTTTGCCGGTTACGCCACTCGTTTCTGTGATCCTGCTCTCGGTTTTGCTCTTGGGTAAGCACTTCCTCCAAGCCTTTTGTTTTTTGGTCACACCACTAACTTCACACAGTTGGTGCTATTTTGCCAAATATGTCATTACAACGCCCAATCAGTTGACCGCTTCTGCTCTGATTATTCAAGAATGGAAATCCCGAGAAGAGGTCAATCCTGGTGTTTGGATCGCCGTCTTCCTCTTCGCCATTTGCGCCATCAACTACTTTGGTATCAAGTTCTTTGGTGAGCTTGAGTTCTGGCTCAGTTCCATCAAAGTCATCACTATTGTTGGTGTCATTCTCCTCTCGTTCTTGTTGGCAGTCGGCGCCGGCCCTGGCGGTGCAACTGGCTTCAAGTACTACAAAAATCCAGGTGCCTTCAGACCGTACATTACTTCTGGGAACGAAGGCAAATTTTACGGCTTCTGGAGCTCTTTGGTCAACGCCGTCTTCGCTTACCTCGGAACTGAACTCATCGGTGTCACGGTTGGCGAGGCTCAAAACCCTCGCAAGACTATTCCCCGCGCCATCAAGCTGACCTTTTACCGGATTCTCTTCTTCTACTGTCTATCCATTTTCTTCCTGGGCATGATTGTACCATACAACTCTCCTGAACTTGCATTTGCCAACAAGGCCACCACTGGTGCTTCGGCCTCGCCCTTTGTTGTTGCCATCAAGCTCGCCAAGATTCCCCATCTTCCTACCATTGTCAACGCCTGCATCTTGCTCTTCACCTTTAGCGCTTCCAACTCGGATCTGTACATTGCTTCGCGTACCATCTACGGACTTGCCGTTGAGGGCCATGCCCCCAAGATCTTCCTCTGGACCGACAAGCGAGGTGTCCCTGTCCCTGCGCTGGCTGTTTCCGCACTCCTCTGCTGCACCGCCTTCATGAACGTTGCAGACGACTCCAAGACCGTTTTCGGCTACTTTGTCAATTTGACCACAATCTTTGGTCTTTTGTCCTGGATCTCGCTTTTGGTATCTCATATCTGGTTCGTGCGCGCACGCAACGCCCAGGGCATTACCAAGGACCAGATGGCCTACACTGCCCCCTTTGGTCTTATCGGCTCCTACATTGCCCTCTTCTTCTGCATCTTGATCGCCTTGACCAAGAACTTTTCCGTCTTCACCAGGGGCTCTTATGGTTCGTTTGATTACAAGAACTTCGTCACCGGATACCTTGTAAGTCTTTTTCTGTGCCCATGTAAAGCTACTTTTTACTAATATGATTTCACAGGGTATTCCAATCTATCTGATCTGCATCTTTGGCTACAAGTTCATCATGAAGTCCAAGATGGTTCGCCCTCACGAAGCCGACTTCTACTCCGGCAAAGCCGAGATCGACCGCGAGGAAGAGGAATTCTTGGCTCATGCCGCAGCGAAGCAGGCAGCAGGCGGCCGTGACGGCAGCTGGTTCTACAAGACGTTCGTTGCTTGGTTGCTATAGATGGCATTTAAGAGCGATGTTTTCAAGCCTTGTATTCACCCGCGCTTGTGTGCTTTATGCTACATATCATGATTAGATATGCTTTGAATGCTTTGTATGAAAGAAAAAAAAAGTTTCATAGTTAATAGACTCTATGAAGTTGAGCAAACTTATCAGTCTGTCAAAAAATCCCTTTTAATTCGTCTTTTTGTGCAAATGACTATTAATGCGTCCAAAAGCCATCCCAGTAGCTTTGCACGTAGAGATCTCCAATGCTCACAACACGTGGAAAAGATATTTTCAGTACAATTTCCAAAAAAAAATTCCATTAGTAAAACGAGAGAAAAACAGACCCCAAAATCTTAATAACCTAAATTCATTTACAAAAAAATTCAAAAATCCCTCCATATCACGCAAAGAAGAATGATAATCACATACGCGCCCCCCCCCATGCCAATGCCAAGCCTTCCATCCCGCCCCGCACCTCCTCCCCTCCCCTCCCCTCCCGCGCCAAACACCAAATACCTCAGAACACCCGTCGTCTCAATAAGCTCACACCCACCCAAGCTATCCTCAGCGCCAACTCACATTGGCATTCTCTTATGCATGTACAAGCAAGGACGAGAAGTCGTGGCTTGGGAAGCCACTGTTTTGCCGTGTTTGCCGGAAGAGGAGGGAACGGGTAGGACGGCAAGGGATGGGTGGAGCGGCGGAGTGACGGCGGATAGTATACAGAAGAAGGAAGACAAAAGTTAGCTGTGTGGTAGGAATAGGGGATGGGGTTTTTTTCTCGGTCCTTTTTTTTGTTATCTTTTTTTTTTGGGGGGGGGGGGGGGGTTTAGAGCGCGGGATGCTTCACCGGTATGGTTTTTGTGGTTGTCGCGAGGCGGACTTGAGGTTTGCCTGCCTGGTTTGCCTTGTGAGGCGCACGTATAAGGCTGACTTTTTTGGCTCGCGTGTGGGTGTGGGTGTTTGCCTTGGGTATACATGCGTCGGAGCGGAGGCTTTTTTTTTAGGGCGACGCGAGATGCTTGGATTGTAGTCATGTGTGCTTTTTTGTAGTTTGCATGCGTGATGAGATGGTGGTTAGAGGACTATGTTGGTGTTCGTGGTGGTGGTGGCTGCGGTGGTGATAGTGATGGTACTACAAGGTAAGGGCCTAGAGTGCGGCTCTGTCGGCAGGCTCCGAGGTGATGGAGAACTAGGCGTTACCTATGGTAATGTCTTTTTCTCGGAAGATGATATGATGGGTAAGTTGTGCTTTCCTCCCGCTTTCGGACATTTCCCTTTTCGGACCATGGAGTTGTGACAAGGACTATCTACCTTCCCGTCTAGCATACTCCACCCGTTGTACTGTCCAAGCGGAGCAGATATATTTACACTTTAACAACATTTTCACACTTACCACTCATTATTTTTTTCTAGACTCGACATGTCAGATACAACCTCTCTTGCAAGGCAGTGTTGCCACGGACAGAAATTTCACCAGAACAGGACCAAACTCCGTTGATAGCATCTTACCACACCACTTCCATTCAGTAGAGCCATACCACATGGCTTCTGGCTCCTCTTGGCTAACTCAGCATTTTCATTTCGCTTCACGATGTTCGTTGGTGTTGGAGTGATACTTGGACACGATAGCACCATCAGTAGTCCTTCTATGAGTCATGTAATATAACAGCCCTGATATTTAGCAATGAAGCGATGCTTTTCTTCTTTCACCTACAGGACTAGAAGGTGTGACTGGGGTTGCACATAAGAGAAATAAGCTTACACTAAAGAAAAGGGCACTTCCAAACGTGCCCCTTGCTGCCCTTTTTGTGGGGCAAGACAAGATGACATTGTAGGTTTTGGGTAAGGCAATTCGGGCTTATTCAAATGGTCTTTGCTTCACAATTTTTCCTTTTTGCCTTCGTGGGGGGAGAGGGGAAGTATATAACTTTGCTGGTGGAATGGGTGGTTGTTCTTGACATCTCTGCAGTTACTTGTATCATCGTTCACATTATTGGGATCGATACTCAAATTCTACAATCATTGTTTTGAAGACCTCTGGGGTTCTAATTTGCAAAAAAAACTTGTCATTTTACAAGGGAAATCGACGGTTCAATTTACCGATATCGGGTTCTTAAGCAGCCCGACCACAACACTACGCACAACACAATATCAAAGCAAATTCGCTCCTTGCACGATTTAACAACTCGGATTTGATCAACCTTGAATCATAGTATTTTCATCTAAGAGTCGTCTGGATCAATACTACGGTAGTAGCACACGTGCACTTATACCTCCTCAGTCCATCGCCACCATCACCACCACTTCCACGGCTCCAGTTACTCACCAATCCTTTCGACACAGCCTAATGGCTCTTGTTCCTTACTCTGGTACGGCAAACGATATGTGGGTGTGCAATGAGTGTGGGGCTGAGAACAACAATTGGGTTGAGAGATGTCCGATTTGTGGTGAAGGATGGAGACCGTAGAAACAAGAAGAGAGAGGCGTCTCTACCTTTTGATTATTGTCTCTAGGAAAGAGAATGATTGAGTGAGGATGTGCAATTCTGGTTGAGGAATTCCGAGGTGATGACTGTGGCATTGGAGGGTTTGGTTAGATTTCTTTGGTCTACTGTTCATCCCGGTTTCAATTGGTTCTTTTGTCTTTGGGGGCTGTTTCTCTTGCCTGGTAACATCGTTCGTTATATTCTTTTGTGCTATCATTGTATTTTAGATTTAGAGTAGAGTAGACTGGGCGTTCGTTGCGCGTCTTCTTTTCAACCACTAACTTATATCTTTTTTTCCCGCCTGATCCTGCAATTTACCATTAATTCAGATTTGGTTTTATCATGCACCATGCATCGATATGTCCCAATATAGGTCAAGGCCTCAGTGCTTGCCGTAGTCATGGTTTTGTAACACGACAAAACCAACATAACATATCCTCCCATTTTGGGTTGGTTGCGAACCAGACCGTGGATTTCGTCATGATCATCGAGGAACATAGAGAGCTCCATATGGTCAGCTTTCCAGATCGCTACGGCCAACCTCGTTGGCGTTGTGTTTTCTTTTGCTGGTCCTTGGCAGTCCTTGCTGACTTGTACTAGCAACAACATCCAATGTAAACGCGTAAAGGATGTACAGTGCAGCCTTGGGCATATTGCTAGCTGAGTCTGAGTAATCGCGTTCCAGTATTACCTGTAGTTCGGGTATCATTGGTGTTGCGCTTGTAATCGATCCGAATGTCACAACGTACACGCCGGCGTGACACTCAATCCAATAGTTTCACCATAGACCCTTCTTGCACGCCACAACCTTGGACGTGTAGTGTAACCTGATCTGGCCAACTTCAATAGTCCTGTATGCCCGTTTCGCCAGTCAAGACTTTCTCCTTCCCTTCTCCATCAGAGTCAAAATCACTTTCCATACTCTCAAAATACGCGTCCTGTAAGTCCCTCTCCTGCTCGGGGTCATCGTACTTGGGATTGCCATCCACGAGTTTTGCATAGTCAAAGTCGTCGTCTCCGCCTCTTAGGAAGCGCTGTGTCATCTCGTCTATCCACCAGGCCTTGCCCTCCTCCTTGCTCATGGGTATATCGTCCTTGTCCTCTTCTATTATCTCGCCCTGTGGCCCGCGGGTATATGTAAAAAGCGAGTTGGGGTCTGGTTGCGACAGCGCATCCTTCTTCGCCTCGGCGCGCCACAGGTCTGTCGCCATCTGACCGGAGAAACCCTTCTTCCGGCCTTCGGCTTCGCGTTCAGATGCGGTTTGGAAGCGGCGGATTAGGCGATCGTAGAGTAGAGGGTCGGCGAGCTCGAGAGAAGAGTCGGTAAAGTACTCGGGATGTACTTCGAGGTAGCGTTTGCGCCTGTTCTTGGCCTGGAGTCGCTGGGCCCGCTCGTCTTGTTGGTGTCTCATCTGGTCGCGGAGAAGAGAGTAGTCTACGGTATTCTCCATGGCGACATCTTCATTCGCGCTGGTGGGTACGATGTCGTCGGTGTCGGGATTATTGTGCGAGTCTGCGGGGTGCTTCGCAGCTTCGGGCGCATCCGCAGGTCGGAGAGCAAGAGGCGCCATTGTGGGCGGTGCAGTCAGATATGGCATACTACAATGTCGAAATCCGGCGAATATATTTCTCCTGTAATCCCGCACGATGCATGGAGAGTGAGGTGGGCGCGGGCGCAAACCGTCCCGCCATGCTTGGTAATGACGCCACAAACGTGCGCCACAAGAAACAGGGTCCGCAGGGCCCGTCTAGTCGAAACGTGCCCAGTCGAAACAAGACCGCCTTAATGATCGACCGTTTCATCAGGCCCGAAGCCAGGAACAGCTGGCCTCCTTGGTTATTAACTTCAACGTCTTCCCAATTCTTATCCTTCCTTATTCCCTTCCTTGACCCTTGTGCGTCGTCATAGTTGCCCTTATTTTCTTGTTCTTCTCTGGCTAGATTCGCTGTGCGGATATACGGTCCGTCTATAGTGGAAAAAGAGCTTGGAACTCCTGCTTCATTTACGCGACATCTGGTCTTTTTGGACTGTACATATCTCTTCATTTCGTGGTCATAACTCATCGCCTTTCTTTCCTCGAGATCGTGTCCTACGCAAAGAAGAAGTCTTACATCTTTCGCCATGTCTTCAAAACAAAAGACACAGAAAAAGCCAAAGGCTGCAAACAAAGCAGCACCACAGACGCAGAACGCCTCAGCATCAACAATCCTTCTAAACGTGGGCCGAGCAGCAGCACTTCTCCTAATCGCCGGTTTTGCTTCTCCAGTCTCTCAGCTAAACTTATCGCCCGTCTATGGATCCATTCCTGCATCGCTGCATCACCAGCGGACCATGACCATTGTCGCTGTGGCAGCTTTGTTGGTCCGACGAGGACTCAAGAGCTATGTATCCGCAAATGTTTCACAGTACATCGCTGTAATTGCGTACTGGACCCCCGTCATACAGTTTCTACTCTTCCCATACAGTGAAAAGATGGGAATTGAGTATGGTCCCATGGCCATTGAGTTATTGACATACTTTCCATTGCTTTTCTTGTCAATTTTCGCTGCTGCCGATCTACTGGAATGCATCGATATCAGCGGCTTGAATCCCTCTCCGTTGAAGGAGATTGTTATTCCTACTGCTTCGTACTTTGCTGTTTCCACCACAGCCAAGATCAGCAGCGCTCTCATCCCAAGCTTCATCGGCACATCGGTCTACTTCACTCGCATTGGCTTCCAAATGCTGCTCGCATCCGCGTCTGCCTTCTTTAGCCCCTCACGCGTCATTCTGCTCGCGTTCCCTGCTATCTTGCACACGCTTTGGACCAACCCGCACCATCCGTCAACTCATGGACTCCAACTCGCAAACTCGACTCTACAAGCAACCCAAAACTACACCCTTCTTGCTCGACAGGAATCAGTTACTGGCTACGTTTCAGTGGTCGAAAGCCAATCTGAAAGTGCCTTCCGTCTCCTTCGATGCGACCACTCCCTTCTAGGTGGTGAATGGCTCGTCACCCCAGAAGCGTATGCCAAAGGCCAGCGACAGCGCGAGTCCATCTTCGCCGTCTTCGTTTTGCTCGAAGCTGTCCGACTTATCGAACCCCCCGTCGCATCTATCCCAGCCGTGGACGAGAGCGAGAAATCTGCCCTTGTCATTGGTCTCGGAATCGGCACTGCGCCCAACGCCCTGATTGCTCACGGTCTCAACACAACCATTGTCGAACTCGACCCCGTGGTCCATTACTACGCAACCAAGTACTTCAACCTCAGCCCCAAACACAACGCCGTCATTGCCGATGCTACCTCCTACGTGGCCGAGAAGTCTGTCTCTGCCCCCGGAAGCTACGACTACATCATCCACGACGTCTTCACCGGCGGTGCAGAACCCGTTTACCTCTTCACCACCGAGTTCATGCAGGGGCTGTACAACCTCCTCAAGGACGACGGCTTCGCAGCCATCAACTATGCTGGTGACCTTACTCTCGGAAGCACACGCCTGGTCCTCAACACCATCCACGCCATCTTCCCCGCCTGCCGCATCTTCCGCGATTCCCCCGCCTCCGAGGAGCGCCAGGATGGCGACGCCGATTTCATCAACATGGTCATCTTCTGCGTCAAGAACGACCATGATCTTGGAAAACAAGGAATTCGTTTCCGCAACGCGAAGCCTGCTGATTACCTGGGTAGCATTGCGCGTCGCAACTTTTTGCAGCCGCAGGAGAATCTCGAGGTCAAGTATGAGTATGTGCCTAAGGAGGATGGGGGTAGGGTTATGGGAAATGCCGATGTGGGCGAGTTGGAGAAGTTTCACAAGGATGGCGCGGTTAGTCATTGGAAGATTATGAGGACTGTGCTTCCTTCTGGTGTTTGGGAGATGTGGTAGGCGAAGTTTGTGTTGTGTGGTTTTTTGTGAGAGGGAAATGGAGAAGTTGGAGTGGGAGAAATGAGGAAGATAGGGGGAGTTGCAGAGGAGATTCTGCCGTATATAGTTGCATAGACGATGTTATTATTTACTAGAAATATCGTATTCTTACTTGCTGCATACCGTACCGGTTCGATAAATTGAATATTCATACTTTTCTTCGTTTCTTGTCACACTTCCTTCACATCTAATCCGAAAATTGGTACAGCAACACTTGACTGATAATGAATCACCCAAGAGGACTTCTGTTCCTCGGCATCGTTGAAAGTGATTTTATATGGTGATTTCTCGTTAAAATAACTGAATCTAATATGTAAGACATAATGCTTATTATGTTGTACCTAGGACCTATCACCTTTTTCCAAACTTCAAAGTCGCTTTTGATATCCGACATGCGCACACTGGAGATAAGCTATCCCAGCGTTCCTTGAACAGCAAATTCATTACTCATAATAAAGAAGATGCCAACAAGAGAGTATATCTGTATCAACTCTACCGTGAGATATATATAACTCATCTCCGTTCAGCAAGACTCAAACGATGTACCACCATAGTCAGATGATCAGTGGCGCCGACTGAATTTGCTAAAATTGGAATGAAACTTATAGTATTGCGGTCTGGACAGTTCCAAAAGGTTGCAACTGCAGAACATGAATCTCATCTTATACTTTTGAGAAGACTCATGCTTAACAGGGTAGGAGTTAATTTGGAATTTTTGGGGGAAGATACGCTGAATTGAGATTCTGACTGGTGACTTCACGATTTGAATAGCACAAAAAGATTGACAGAATTAGATAATGTTAAAGTGCGTATGTTAAAGATTGCTCTGAGGAGCGGGTTACATATAGCGGTATGTAGGCTGTGAATTGAATTTGGATGGGGTAACGCTATAGGGATTTCGGACAGATGGGTGCAAGCAAGTTTCCGCAAGCCGGGAGCTCTGAATAGTCCGCAAGCTCTTCATTCGACATTGTCTATCGAGACTGAGACACTGCGTCGGAATCACAGACTGTCACACAAAGCTGCTAACATCATACACTTGATTCATCTCATCAAAGCACCACCATCACACATTTCTCGCTCCCCTTCCATTATGCTCATATCATCAACTTTACTTCCCTAATACACTTATATCATTCCATCATAATTATCAATGTCGCCAGGAACTGTTCTATAGTGCATAAAGCCTGGTAGTACTAGAAGGCATAGACCCATAAGGAGAAGTGGGTGAGAAGGTATATGAGATGTACACTCTGTTATGCCGAAACTGTTTGATATTGTATCTTGCGGTACGAGAGAAGTACCATTTCAAGTACACTTTGATCATTCACATAAAGTATGACTTGGTATCTGAGGGATTTATCGTATACGGACGAGAGTCATGCTGCTAAGCTTACAGATAAAAAAGACCGATATCAAAGCCGACCGTCCTACTCTATTAACCATGCATCCTTGAAAAAGGCAAAAAGAATCCCTTCCAAGTTAGACAATCCGCAACGACGATCTTTTACACAAAGAATCCTTAGTGCCACCAAATACCCCAGCTCAACTAGCTGCAGTGGGGGGGGGGGGGGGAATCATGTGGAGATTGGCAACATCAGCCCAGCCGATCGATAAAAACAGATTCCTTTAGTCCCTAACCATTCTGGAAAGCCGTAAAAAAATCCCCTAGCCAGCAATCAACCCGATGACATATCGCTTCCATAGTTCTCCGGTCCAAACCAATCCAAACACGACAACTCCTTCCGAAGAAACCACTACACACCATTCTTTACCTCCGAGGCCGAAAACGCCAGCTTCCTGTCCACACACACACACGCACCCCCACAGCCCCAAACTCAAGCCACGCTTCGCTCGCATCGGTCCTTCCCAGACTCGAAAACCAGGAAATACCTCTTTGTTTCCAAAAACGCCCGGAGCGTGCTAATCGGTGAAAATGTAGTCATAACAATCAAACCCACGGAGGGAACTATCAACCTGCTTTGTACAACGCGGCCGTAGGCCCATCCCATCCTCGCGCGTGGCGCACGCACGTACGCAAACCCCAATCAGATCAGCAAAGCACACAACAAAACGCCCTACTACGCAAAAACGCAAAAAAACCCCCCAGCCCGCTGAGCTACTAGAAAACTGATTGCGAAAAAAAGCAAAGAAAGAAATGCTAGTAAGTTCACCGACCGTTTCATCGCGCCCAACGCGCAAGGAAAGAAACCCCCCCCATACTTGACACTCTACACACGCCGTTATTCCGGTGAAAAAAAAACCCCCCCTCACTCCCACTCTCCCTTCAATCCACTCTACATCTCCGTCCCCGCGTATACACTCTCCCATACCACTTCTCTCACCGGACATACACTCCCTCGCCGACTTCTAAAAAACGCCCCCCCCCCCCTCGGAGCCATATGCACATGCACATGCATACTACTCTCACCCCCCACTTACCCGCCAATCCTCACACTAGCCCGTGAGCACATGCCAAACTTCCGCGTGCGTACGCACCAACCCTTCCCCCCAGGCGCGAAAAAAGAGAGACAGAGTAGTGTATGTAGTGTAACAAGCCTTTTTAGTCGCAAGGGCTTGATCGCGATAAGCGCTGTCTGGGCGGAATCTTGATTTTCTCTCTTAGACTAACTATGCGGGACTTGACTTTGGGTTGGGCCGGTGTGTGAGTGGTACATATGCGAATGCAGGGGGGGGGGGCACAGCGTATGCATGCGTGGATGAGATTTTGTTGACCTATAGTATACTACTACTACTACGTATGTAAAGAGAGAGGGGAAAGGGGGAAAAGAGCGGCGTGTTTGATCGGCGGCAGTGGTGGTGGATAGGGATTTGGTTACCCCTTGTATGCGTATGTGATGGGCATTATGCTTTGAGGGAAGGGGAGGTGAGCGTGTTGTGTGGTGGACGATGCATTTGCTGGATCGTCGGTCGGGGTTGGAGGACACGTGTATTGTGCGGGATTTACTGAGGGATGCGTTGCTTTGAGGGTTAGGGATGGGGGAGCGTGCGCTGCGTTTTTGCCCATGTGTGCGTGTAATATGTGAGGGAAAAAAGCAAAGAAAGCGGGCAGATGAGTATGGGATAACTACAGGATCGTGGCATGTGGGGAAGACGATGTGCCCCGTTTGAGGGCCGCGCCGCGGGGGGGTCCAGCTGCCAGGAAATAAGGTTTGCAACGTTGTTACCGTACATTTGTCTCTTTTTTTGCTTCCTTGCTTCTTTGATTGCGTTGCTTTTTGTGGCTTTGCTATGTTTGCGGGTAATAATGACAGCTTGAAATGGTTTACGAATTTGGTGAGGCAATTTTGTGCAAAAAAAGGACATTGGTATCTTCGTTTAAGCTGACAAGCTCTGCAGTTTCTGTCTTTACCGTATTCAAGTGCCGTTGTACTATTGTTCCATGCTAAGGGAAAACACGAACCATTTACGTGGACATGACTGGTACGGCTCTTCCCGGCATCCTTCTTTCCGTGGTGTGCTCTAGTTGGCAACAAAAATGGAGGGCACGCGACGCATGAGGAAAGAGAAGAACAGAAGAATGATAGGATTGCGCAATGGACCCCACGGTGCGCCTCGAGGCGAGTGCGGGAGGCGGGAATCGGAAAGTCGGGCAGCGGCGTGTTTTGACCGCTATTTTCCTCGTGTTTTCCGCATGTTGCTCGACTTGCAGGCCGGACAAGTCGCGTGATGTGACGAAAGGGTGTGCATTGGGGTTTGCATTGGGCGGTGGAACAGAACACATGAGTAGGAAAAAAAAAAGTGGCCTGTAAGGCTTGCCAGATTACTTTTTGCTAGGTACCCCGCTGACGTTGATAAGCGTCAAAAGCGCTAACAAGGCGATATGCAGGGTGTCTTCGGCTTTGCTGGATTAACATTTCCGATTTGTTGACTGTGCTGACTGGGTGGTGTTGATACTGCACGAGTGTGTACTACATTTGCATGGTGTACGATAGGTACCGTGTCGCTTGGTCGCATATTCCTCTTGGGGAACACGGGCAGCATCTCGCTCAAGCCTGCCACTTACTCTCAAGTGACGTCGCCAACGGATCGACCTGGAACTAATTCTCCTCCGCCCCTCCTCACGCCCCGCTTTTCCAAATGCCCACGAAGACGCTGCGGAAAGGGAAGAAAAACGGCGTCGAGGCGCGATATGCGGCCCTATGCCATGCCGACATTCTGGCCGCAGCCTACCATTGCACCCACGTTGTCACCACGAGACATCCGCTTTGCTCGTCAGATGGGCTGCGATGCCAACCCACAAGTAGCCCCGTTTTCTTAGGTGGAGATCCTTCACCCTCTGTAATGAAATGCAGTCCCATGGCTAGGCGGGCACAAATCCAGATCTCGCTTGGTGATTGGGCCAGAGCACCCTGGACCCAGCGATACAGCGTCTTGACTCTGGCTACCGGAGATGGATGCGTCTAGCGAAAAATTGCCAAGCTGGTACCGCAGCCAGTTGCACATGTTGACAAGGCTGGTGTTGGCTGGGCAGACACCTCGCTCCTTGGACTGCTAAACGCTCCTGCCCTTTCAAGTCACGCCACCTGTTTCTTTCTGCCCGTCCAACTCTCACCACATGTGTCCCAATCCTGTTCCCATGCTGGCTGAGACGACACAAACAATTAATTGTCCTGCGCCAACGCTTGTGTCGCACCCTCGTGCGGCTCGGCAACATGTCGGACAAAAATGCAATCCCCCTCCCCCCCAGCGCGCACCCCCGGAAATTTATGCCCCATAGGTATTGACGGGGTTAGAGGTTGTCGGATGCTTGCAATGTGTCAAGGTAACGTCGTCAGAGCCGCGGCGGCGATTGAGCGGAAGATCACCAGGGGCTACCTGTTAGACGCTTGCGCCATGCGGCCGAATCAAGCGCGCTGATCTTCAAATCCTGGATCCATCGGCACTTTTCTGTAGGGCCACCAATTGCAACTTTGGTCCACGGCACACGGCTACGATAAGCAACGTGCAACCCGTGGCCATCGGAGCAGGAGCCATGGGAACCAAAGTTTGCAGGGGAGCTTGGCATCGTGGCATTCGCTATCTGCTTGGTGCATGCTGTCTGCCGTCTGTGGATAAGACGATCGGCATGCTGCTGCTGCTGCTGCTACTACTACTACTGCTACTCGAAAAGAAGAATGCTGCGCATCAAACGCGCAGAGATAACAGACTGCGAATGGTACCCCGCCATGCTCGCGTCAATGCAATGCAATAATTATGGTATAAAAGTGAGCAATATACAGGGGGACATGGTCATCGTTCGCCCATGTCAAAGCGGTGGGTAAATGCCTTTCCAACCTTATTCTCAGGCTTGGGAGGGACGTGGTGATGCAGATACTTCTTAGGCGCCGCCGTTCTCGCACTCGACGCCTTGGAGGCATCAAAGGTAATCTTGGGCTCCTCGTAGGATTCCGGACAGCAGCAGCCAATGTTCTTGATGCACGTCGTCTTGAGCACATCGCGGATCGTGATGCGCTGCGACGGAATGGGATGTAGCATCTTCAGCATCAAACGTTTGATCGACGGGGGCTCGATTAGACTGAATAGTTTGCCGCACTTGGGGTGGCCGTCGGGGCCATCGAAGATCTGTCCGTCCGGATGGGCTTGCAGCCACTGGTCCCAACCCTTTTTGAATCGCGCGTAGTACTCGAACTCTGGCTTGGCCGCTTGCCATGGACAGCCACCAAACGTCATGGTCAAGTAGACAATGGCAGTTGACCATATATCCAGCGGTCGGGGGTCGTAGCTGTGGTCCTTTTTTAGCACTTCGGGAGCAATATACGGCAGACTGCCGCAGATGCCAGGGGCTGAAAGACGAATCTGTCCCATATTTTTGCCGCATTCTCCGCCAGAAGCGCGCAGGCCAGGATGCTCGCCGCTAAAGACTTCGGCAACGCCAAAATCCGAGATTTTTAGATGGCCTTCCTTGCTGAGAAGCAGGTTTTCCAGCTTGATGTCTCGATGGGCGATGCCGTGGCTGTGCAGGTAGTCGACGCCACGGAGAAGCTGCTTGAAGAAGCACAGCCGGTCATCCCGGCTATAGTACCCTTCTGGCCCACCGGCAAAGAGCTTACGCTCTACGAGCGAGTAGATTTCCCCATATGTGCAAAACTCCATGACGTGGTTCCAGCGGCCGCGGTTGGTGCATAGGCGAACGGTCTCGACAATGTTGGGGTGATGCAGACTCTTTGCAATGCTATACTCGGACTTGATCTTGAGCACATAGTCTTCTTCTGTCTCTTCTTTATCCCTTTCTCGAAATTCCTTGACTGCGACCAAGTCCTCTTCCCTGGTAATGCCTCCTCTTCGCGCCATGATTCGAACTTCAGACGTTGCCCCCTTGCCCAGTATCCTTCCTCTTTTCCCCGGCATCAGGCTCGAGCTCTTAAACTCCTTGTCTAGTTCACACCAATCTATAATGAAATCATCAGGCAGGTTAATGCTGAGGCGTCGTGCTTTCATGCCTACACCCTGGGCGGCAGGCTTGGAGAAGGTGGCCAGCATACCAGCAGTAGGCTTTTCTGTACTCTCGCCCGTTCGTGGCACTTGTTCTGTGCTGGCCGACCGCCTCCGCAGGAAACCAGTCTTTTTGGTAGTTGTGACACTTCCGCTTCCAGCCCAGGTGATGCCAGGCCTGGGCCTGGACATGTTTCCCAGACCGGTAGAAGATATGGGCTTCTTGCCAAGCTCTGGTCTTTTGTCGGTCGAGGGCCTGCTGCTAGTTGAGCCAGACAAGGGCGGAGAGCTTGCACGAGAGGACCTATCGGAGCGTCTGGTTAGAGAAAAAGTACTTAGCCTCTTGCTCTGGCGGGGAATGTCGACGGCCGGGGTGGACAACTCGGCTGGGCCATCGATGCCAGTCTTGACAATGTAAGTGTCGGTGTCTGGCTTTGTTTTTGGAGACCTGCTTGGCGTGGAGAGATTTGACGTCTCTGATTGACTGGCGCCGTCCTTTGATGCGTAGCTTCTGTGCAATTTGCCACGGAGCAGGCTTCCGACACGCTTGCCCAGTCCACGCCTCTCGGGGGGCGACTCACGCTCGGGCGGGTGGGATGTGTGGGTGTCTGGTGGGGGAAGGGCATCTTCATGAGAAGACTTTGATGGCGTGTCGCTGGGTAGCGGGCGTGGGGTAGCAAAGACATCGTCTACCGAGTCATCGTCCGGGAAAGGGTGGTGAAAAGAGGGGCCATCGCTGCTATGGCTGGTGGGAGTGAGAGGCTCGGCAGGCTCGCTGGCGGTGCCTGTGCTCTCGTCCTCCTCTTCAATGGCAAAACGGTGGGACTGGGAGCGTGAATCGCGATGACGCAGGCGGTCGGAGAGGGTTGGCTCGTCAAAAGAAATGGATAGTTGGCGCGGCTGTTCGGCGAGCACGGGCATGGCGAGTGGGGAGAGAGGGTTTGTGCAGGTCCGATTGGCGAGCAAGCGGGCGTGAATGGGTGTAAGAGAGTGTGAAGGGGGGAGGGCTGCAGGGCCTAGTGCTTGTGGTTAGGCTCGCTGGAGGGGACTGGGGCAGTGATAGCAGGAGGCCTCGAGCGAACTGCAGTCGTGCAGATAGAGGGTGGGCAACAAGAGCGGAGTGTGGTAAAAGTGTTGGGCTCGTGGCAAAGCCATTCACACAACGTAGGAGGGAACAAGCGTGCAAAGGCGCGGGTGGGTGTTGGCCGGTCGAGGGCGCCGGGCAGGGGATGGGACAGGGTGGGGACCAAAGTAGCCGCAGCAAGTTTGGCCGGGGGAGGAAGAGGAAGAGAAAGAGGGAGAGGGAGAGGGAGAGGGAGAAGAAAGTCGAGGTTGGGGAATACGACGACAATTTCCCCCAGATGGCGCAGGCGGTGATGGCCCCTAGAGATGCAGAGGGAGCAAGGGCAGCCAGGGATTGGGGCTTTGATATGTGCGCACTGCAGGACCCTCGACCCTCGACCCTCGTCGCGCTTGGCTGCTCTTTTCCCCCCCACAGCACGACAGGGCAGGGCAAGACAGGACAGGACAGGGCAGACTTGAGTAAGTAGAAGCCGACTACTCACTAGGCCATGCTAGGCGGGTAGCACACTGGGGCTAGGCCGGCCTGCTAAACTCTCTGGCGCAATGCATCCATCCCATCCCTCGCTGGCTCCATTGCTCCATCCATCCATCTACCTACCCACCCATCCACCCAATCCATCCATCCACCCATCATCCAACCCACCGACGCCCGCCCCGCCGCCTCCTCCGCCGCCGCCGCCGCCAAACCCCCACCCCCCAGCTGCACGCCGCATGCACGTCTTGCGACACCCCCAGCTGGCGCCCTTCTTCAGCACCCTCACAGCGGGCCCTCTGGTCGCCGGCGGTTCTGGGTCAGCTGTGGCATCGTCATCCATGCGTGCCACGAGACAGACTCATGACTGACGGGGCTCGCTGTCGGCATGGCCAGTAGGGATGGCTGTCTGGCAGGACTGTGTCGCTGACTGGCAGGGCGGGACGCGGTTACTGCAAAAATGCCGCACGACATGGCACTCTGGACGTCGGCCGGGGCTGGGCTAGGCCGTGGCGGGCGTCAGCAGCCTGCTTTGGCATCACGGTGCCATGTAGATAGTAGGTACATGCGGACATAGGTAGGTAGCGAGGCAGTGTGGACATGGTCGCCTCGAGGGTAGTAGTCTACTTACGCACTCATGTATTGGCCTGGCGGGCTAAGGGCCGGTGCTCAGGCCCTATGCTCAGGCCCCCTGCTTCCGCCCAACCGCCATTCGCTGCTCTCGCGAACCCGTCTCTCCGCCCATGTGTAGGCGCATGGATGGATGTACTATACATATATACATGCGTCCATGTACAGCCAAGCACACATGGACACGGAGGCGTGGCTGCGGCATTCACAGCATGCTGTCGACGGCCTTGTCGTCTGTCTTGACCAAAAGCTTGCACGGCCCTTGACCTCCTCATCCGACAACGGGCCAAGCAGCCATCACAAATGCAAAGGACAATAAGCCCATTCCCCCACCGTCTTGGTCAACTGCTCGCTCTGATGACCACGCTGGCCACACTACTGTCGTCATCGGCACACGCTCCATAGTGCTTCCCCCCAGCCTTCTGCGCACGCACGCTCACGCTGCTTGATTGTCCGCGCCCTCAGAATAGCGGGGTCGGCGTCGTCTCCTGCAGCCCGCGTCCGCCTGCAGTCCTGACACGGCTCCCGATGACAAGCATATGCACTGCATCGGCTTTTGCTTTCAAAAGCATTCGTGTCAACACCGCCCCCCGCCCCTGCCCCCCACGCGTCCACGAACCCATCCGACATGTCGCGCCTCACTCTTACCTACTCTCTCTCTCCGCTTCGCACACTACTCGTCCATTGGGTATCCCGCCCTCAGAGCGGTGAGTTTCACACAGACTTGTAGTCAACCGACTGGTTTCCTCATCCCTCGCCTCCCCACCCGCCCGCACACACACACACACACACACACACACACACGCACACACATACACGCTGCACCTGCAGTAGTGCCCTACTGCTTCTTCTGACCGCAGCCTTTGCATTTGCCTCGCCTACGAGCCCCGGATTCTCAGCCCATGGGGTTTGGCGAGATCGACGGGAAATCATGACACCAATTCCTTCGCCTCCGCGCACGCTGCCAACATCGGGAACAACTCACTGGACTTCTAACCCGTTTGCGCCCTGTACCTAAGCACAGACCTACTACAACCCACCCACACCGATCCCGATAGAGTAACAATCTAACAAAACACCGCACGTGGTACAAGCTTCAGTCATTCGCCTAAACCCACTCTTCCCACCGATTTGCACCTGTCTGCATCTCTCTCGCCTTGGCAGTTTCCACCAATGTAAACGTTAATTGCTTTTACTGTAACCCTCTTGGCACGTTGGAGGAATTCGGTTTCCGCGCTTGGCACTCAACAGTCAGCCATCTTTGCTTCTTTCGCTAATCTCGACGACATGGATATCCTGTGTGTGTGTATATACCGAAGCTCAATCATGACTCACCGGTTTTGTAATTCTCATCAACTTCTCCACGCAGGCCACATCCCTCTTGGCTTCATCACCACCCTCTCGAAACCCGTCCGAGATGAGATGATTGACATCCACCGTCATAGTGATGTCTCAATCTCTCGCGCCCTATGTCACCTCTGTAGCAATGTAACCTAAGAAACCCTAAACAGCTCAACACACCAAAGCACTTGAGCCAAGATGTTACTACCATTACACCATACGTACGCACACGCACACATCAACCACTCGACACAACCCGCCAAGGCGCCCTACTTCTTCGACATTGCGGAACCCGGGCTTGTCACCAACAAGACTCCGATGCCAACAAACTCAAGCTACTAGCCTCCCTCCCCCGTCACACTCCCAATTGCCTGTTCGGGGCCTCTCTCAGTCCCGACCAGCGTACAGCTTGCGCGGAAACAGCCTGCCAAGCTGATCTACTCGTCTTGGCAACGATCTTGTGTCATGGACTCCCCCTCCTGCTTTAGGCGCGAGATCTGCACTTTTCCGCTGCACAACACCTTCGACGGGTGACATCCGGCTCTTGTATTCTGGTCTTGGCTTTTTTTTTCTTCCCGCCCATCAATCCCATGGCCCAATAGCTTGTTTTTTGCAGTTTCCGCACATCATTGTAACCCCCCTTTCCCCCGACACTGGATAAACATTTGCCGCGTAGGGTTGGGATATTTTGTGCAGCATATGATTAACCGTTGGTTTTTTTCCCTTCTTCTCGCCCGTTGGGAAAGATCAACGGGGAGGTAAGGCGGTCAGGAGTGTGGCTAACCAGTGTCCCCCTTATCTTTTGTCTCTATTTCTTGTTCCTTTTTTTCGTGAAGAGACACTAAAAAACTATAAACCACATCCCGTGTTCCCCACGTCTTTGTCACCTCCAAGTGTCACACACTGAATAGCAGGGTAATTTTGGAGAAAAAAAGGGAGAGCACAGAAACAAACGGATAAAAGGAAAAAAGGGGCAAGGCAGAGCAGTGTTGAGTTGCCTGGTAGATTGAGTTTGTGCATCTCACACCGATATTCAACCATGTGCTACGTAGTACCACTCACGTGGTCATGGTTACAACGATAACCACCATGATTTATCCGATATCGGCAGGTCAGGTTGCAACATTCTGTCTTCTTTCTGAGCAACAGCAAGCTGGTATGCTAGGCGTGAAACTGATGCAAAATCATTGAAGCAATAGTCACGACATGATTGTCTAGCCCATTTCAATGCTACAGAAAAAAAAAGGTACAAGATTCTATAGAAAACAGAAAATAATCTATTGCCCTCAAAAGCTCACTATTCTTTTCTTCACTGCCCAGATGACATCAGACCAGACTATATATACACACACACACACACACACACAAAAAAAAACCCCCCCCTTGCCAAATTCGCCTCCTTAAACACCGCCCTCCCCACGACTCCCCATGCCATTGCCGCCCACCCTAACCCCCCCCTCCTTCTTCACATACACCATCTCACTCGACGGCACAACGACCCACTCCCTCTCATCTACCACGCGATCAAGGCCACAACTACTACTCTTCCACCCCTCGCCTCTCATGCCCCTCGCCGTCTTCCACGCATTGGCAATAACATCATTAACACCCACGCCCCCAAACTGACTTCCCACAACCCTCAGCCTACCCTTAAACTCGGTCGAGATGCCGTGCGCGAAATCCTTCATGCGGTCGCTATATCCAAGCGTGTACTGCGGAATACAGTTGCGGGCGAGATTAACAATATGAGCCGTTGGCTCGGCTGTGATGCCTAGATGGCGTTTGATGACGCTACGAGCCATGTCTAGGCCTTCTTGTTCAGAAGGGTAGTCGGACCAGCCGTCCCACCAGTGGCCGCCGAGCATGACGGTGAGTTTGGTGCCGGAAGCGGTGTCTTGACCCTTGATGGCGGAGGAGTCGAAAATTACGCCGAGGGCGCGCTCCGGGTTTTGAGTAAAGGGCACGGATTGGGGGATTAGGTAGCCGAAGCCTTCGACGGGGAGGAGGGAGGGGGACGGGAAGAAGAGGTTGATGGTCATGACGGTGATGGAGGGGGTGAGGTCGTGGTTGCTGAGGGTTGAGATGGCGGTGTCGAAGCTTGAGGTTGTTGTTGAGCCTTCGGGCTGTTTGTAGTGTTAGTGGTTTGAATGGGGGTTTTGATAACAAGGGGAATAGAACGTACACCAGAAACGATTTCTATGCCTAGTTGGCCGTCTTTGGAGAGTGGCTTGAATGATTGCACAGGCGATTCGGTCTTGATTTCGACGTTTCCCCTTGCTTCTACTGCGTCCTGTAATGCCCGGATCAACTGCTGCAGACCGTTCCTTAACGTGAACATGCTCGTCTCCTGTAGGTTTCTCGCAAAGTCAAGTTCTAGATCAATCTCTTCGTTCATTGCTCGTGTGTTTTCCAGATCCAGAGGGTGAACAAGTGTGAGCTGTTCCGGCCGCGGGTCCTCGTTCTGCATGCGGAAGAAACCTCCCAGCGCATTTCCATATCGCCCTTCCAACTCCCAGGCCAGACTAAGCAGCGACTTTGCACTGAGTTGCCAGATATCGCCCGCGTATATGCCATGGAACACAGCTGAGACAAGATTATCCGCTATCCTCTTATCCACCCTTCGAGCAAGGAACGATCCCACAGTCTCATCCGTCATGGAATCCGGTCTCTTTGGCCTCATCGGCTCAGTAACCATACCCATCGCACCACTCAGTATGCCCGTCCGCCACAGCGCAAAAAAGTCGGCAAGCGAGGGTCGTTCGGAAGGAAGCCGATTCAGTTGATCAGGATAATATATAAACCGATTCTTCGCTCCAGGCTCGCTTTTCTTTGTATACGTAACATCGTTGACGAGACCGAGATCCTGAACCTACAACACAAAAGAACACCAAGTCAGCACATGAACAAACTGGAATTGAGACAGAGGAATTTGAGACAGAGCGCGATCCTCTCTTTGTCCCAAAAGACACGAAAAAAAAACACACAAACGCACCAAACCCGCCGTAACAATCGCATTCCTCAGCGCCCTAGGCCCCAATTCAAAAAGCACACTCCCATCCTTTCCATCCTGATCCTGCACTTGCACCCGCCGACTCTGAATCCACCCACCCGTCTCTTTCCCCGCCTCAAACAGCGTAACCTTGCTGTGCGGAAACTCCCTCGAGACAAAGTACGCGCTGCAGAGCCCGCCAATGCCACCGCCCAGCACGGCAATGCGCTCAGGATATGAAGATTGGTATCGGCATTGTCCGGGGGACGAAAGCAGGGTGGACGAAGCAAGTAGCGGGCGGGTGCGCGGGTGGTGGACGTGGGATGATTGTAGTAGTAGTGTAGATGATAATGGCGATGCGAGCACAGGACGTGCAGCAACAGTCTTCAGCGTCTTCAGCGACACATTCTGGAACCGCATTGCTCTCGGTCCAATTGGGGGTCCGCAGAGGAAGAGAAGGGGGAAGGCGGTATTTTTCAGGCGACCGGAGCGTTGTAAGCCATATGTTGAAATGTTTTACGTGTTAACACATGATATTCCCTTTTCTTTGCGCAAGTTCCCCCGCCGCCGCCGCCCGGGGTCGGGGGACACTTTTGGCGCGGGTTTTCGCCAAAAATGACGGAAAGCTTTGGCCCGCCTTCTTTGCTGTGCCGTCATTGATTTTCAAAAACAACAATCATCCCCGGCCGGTGGTTTTTCGGGGTTAAATGGTGGGCGAAAGAACCAGATACTCACGAAAGCACGGTGAGATGCAGTAGATAAAAGTCAGGCGAGAAAGTAACAAGAAGATTGCAGCCATTCATAGCCGCAGAGAACAAGCTTCCATTTTTGGGGCAAAAACAAAGGCCTTTCCTCCCCCAAATTCACGGCAGCGCCGCCAACCGTAATGCCTCTTTCAGCCATTTACAAATGAGGCTTATTGTACATATCTCTCCCCAAACAGCTACCTGCTTCCTATGGTATCATGTCCCACCACAACTCAACTCTTTTTGCTCATCTTAATGCCATTCTATGACTGTACATTCACGCCCTCACTCGTTTGTGCGTGTCCCTGGTTCATGTCCTGATCCTTGTTGGGCAGGATGAGCTCCTCTTTTTGCTCATCATCCACAAACTTCCTCTCGCTCACGTGCTCGCCTTCCTTGGGCGCCACCCACACATTTGTTGTGTTCTTCTTTTGACCCGGCTCATGCTTGTACAAACAACGGGGGTTCAGGCAAGGGTTAAACTTACACATAATCGAACTGTGGCCGTACTTGCAGCCCTCGACTGTGCAGTCGGCACCGTTGTGACACGGTTTCGCCGTTGGGTGCTTATATGGGCACGATGAGGGATCGCGGCAGTTGGGCCAGAAAGCGCACTCCTGCTCCGACTGGTACTTTTGTCTTTGTGCGGGCGAAGGGTGCTTGCCAACACACTTCTTGTTCTTGCAAGCCGCCCCGTAGTCGCAAGTATCGTTCATGTCGACGGTAATGCCCGGCATGGCAGCGGGAGACTGGTGGACAAACGGACAGTCGGGGTTTGTGCACCGCAGGTTGAATTTACACATGGTTGATGATGGCTCTGGGCGCCCGGAGGGCAATTCAACGTCCATACCGCTGCCATTCTCTCCGGAGGGGCCATCCGCCATGGTCTCATCCTCACCTTCTTTCTTGAAAGGCTTGGCGTTCGGGTTCATGCCCCTGCCGCCCCGGTCCATGCGCTGATGTAACGGCTTCTTGGATCCATTGCGGTTGTTCTGGTTGAAATTGGGGTTTACAAAAGCTGTCGGAGCGCCACCTGAGAAGATCTGCTGCATCATCTGCGCCTGCTGTTCGTACATTTGCATGAGGGCCATCTGCTGTTGCGGGTTCAATCCGATGCCGTTCATGTTGTTCTGACCGCCCATTGGGTTCATGGGCATACCCGGCATTCCGCCCATGGGCATACCGTTCATGTTGTTCTGGCCCATGTTGACGTTGGCATTGCCCATACCACGACCGTTTGCCATCGCTTCGAGACCACGACCAATGTTCTGACCTCGTGGCCCCTTTGGCGGATCGCGGGCATGTGCGTTTACTCGACCAACACCACCACCGGCGCCACGCACGCGATGCAGGGCTGAATCGTTGTTGCGATCCATATTTTTGTTAAGCTGGTTAAGCATACGGCCACCGCGTGCTGTGCGTCCTGCCTGGGCTCCGCTGCCGTTGCGCATTGCCTTAGGGCCTGTGGGACTGATAAATGTTAGTTGCATTAATAGCTCGCGGTGACGTGTGTACGTACATTGTGCCCTGTCCCTCTGACACGCCTTCCATATCTGTATCTTGGCCAGCAGCTACGTGGTCGTTGGATGTGCTGTCCATTTGGCTCTCGATCGACTGCGCAACCTGTCCATTGCCGCCGCTTGACTGTCGGAGATAATCGATTTGTTCGAATAACCACTGCGCAAACTGCTGTGTCTCTGTGTTCTCCGGGCCCAGATCTAGCAAGTCATTCGATAGTTCGGCGGCGACCTGCGCTTCATTCTTATCGTTGGCCAGCATCAGCAGAATGTACTCAAAGAGCGTCGTGTCGTCGCCGCCCGTTGTCCATCCAAACTCGGCGAGCTTGGGCTGGACAACCTGCTGCAGTTGCATCGCCAGCGGCGAGTCGGTCGCGAAGTCGGCGGCCATGGTGGAAGACGCGGGTGGTGATGGAAAGGTGGCTGTCGCGTAGATTTGACGTTGCGCGGCGGCGGAAAACAGAGGGTGCGACGAATGAAACGACGCGACTTTCTTCGCCGATAGCTCGCGCTGGGGCTTGTGAGATGGTCGTTACAAAAGTGTCGTCAGTCGTCAAGGGAAATTGCGCGTGAAGTGCAGGCTAGGGGCTTGGTGGTGTGGGGATGAGAGTAAATGTTTGGGAGCGTTTGCGGTCAAGTTCTGCGCAGTCGAGCTCGGCATTTGCCGCCTGGCTACTAGCGTCTGGCTATTGTGCAGCGCGTCAGTCACCCCAGAATCTTCGTTGCTGTCAAAGCTGCTTACACATACTACTACACTCGCCACTTGATGATTTCATATCTATGTAGTATGCACATATACTCCAGAAATACTTAACACTACTGTACACATCAGGTACCAGCATCACTTGCATGTACCACATAGGCATATATCGCGCTGGTAGCCAGCATCCCGAAGTCCGACCTCATGTCAGCCCTTGCAATCGGTCCCAGGGGTTGGATGATAACGTCGGTATTACTATCCTTGAACATTGTATCCACTCATACATTCACATGCAGTGGCTTGCAAAATCATTTTTATTTTTGAAATTAATTACCGCCAGCTACAAACCTACTCACACATCCTGTGGCTGGCCTTTTGAGCGCCCTTCCTCCATGCACTGGTTCTCTTCCATTCGTCGCCTGTGCTGTTCACGCATCTCATCTGTGATCCTGATACCAGTGCCACCGGTTCGACGTTCCGGGAGCTCATCTTGAGTGGCTACGCTGACTTGTTGCGAAGACTTTTCACTGCGCTTTTTCCGACTCTTGGAGCTGTGCATATCACGAAGACGTCGACTTTTCGACCCAGTCTCGTCTGATCCGTTGGGAGACTGCTCGCCGTAGCCTTCTCCGTTGAACGAAGCCCGGCCCGAAGGACGGGACCAGCTCTTTGGCACGACAGACGCAAGCATTGGGCAGCAGCCAATCATCACAGCTGGCGAAGCATCAGTATGAGTTTAGACAAGGCAAGAAGCAGCTCTCACCTGTTGAGCACTCCACAATCGTCCATAGTGTAAGCCATTTCGGATCTGGTGACTTCGGCTTCCCATCCTGGCCAACCTGGACGATGCGAATAGTCGAAAACAGTATACAAACAAAACCAGAAGCGAAGAGTAGTCCACATCCAATCTTCTTCGCTTTCTCCATCTGGAGATTCCAGATGAGTCTTATCGGCAGGAACATGACTTTGAGATGTGTCAGTGTGCACACTCGACCAGAACGGAAGTTGGGAAACTCGACGACATACCCATAAGATTGGTCAGTGTGTCGACCGCATATGCGTAGTAGAGGTTTGCTGTCTGACGCCGCGTCTCCCCAAGCGACAAGCACTGTTTGCCTTCTTCAAAGAACGCCTTTGTGTCGTTACATGCCAGGCCTGGTCCTGTTATGATACAGGTTGCCCAAGTCTGAACCAATGTCAGACATGCTCACACTAGAGTCTTTCGCATTGGAGTCCTACTCACCACGATACAAAACGCCACTATTCCCCACCAGACCCATAGGTATGTCCTGGGCATCCCGGCGAGCAGCTTCTTATAGAGCGCCAACAGTGAAAACTTGACAAACCAGAGACATGTCCAATACTCCATACCACTTTGCCACATGACTTCAGATGCAAACCTGAGATCTGCCGCCATAGTTGGCCATGGCACAATCTGGCCTGCTGCCAGCGCTTGAAGCTTGAAGAAGGTGGGCGTGATCACTATGTAGAGAATGGTGAAGGCGAGATAGGCCAGGAAAGCAATTCCAAGCAAGACATCTTGCGCTTCAATCGGCCTCCGTCGCCATATCTGGACCGCAACACGTATTGCAAAAACAGTCGAGGTGGTGCCGAGCATGGCATAGTCGCTCCGGAGGAGATCATGTTGCGAGATCCAATCCGCACCCGTCGACATGGTGGGTACAGGCTCAAAGAGGGTCGGGTGTGGGCCCGGCCCTAAAGATCACAACGAGTACAAAAATCTCTAGAGCGCATGCGGCATGCTTCTGTTGTCTGGTGATGTGGCGCGGGGAAGCGGTTCAGCGCGAGTAATCGGTCGGAGATGGCCGCGGAGGTGAGGATTGCAGATACAAAGCCCTGGGGGCAGCCACTTTACAAACAATACTGCTAACCCAGTCGAAGCTCGAACAGGGCCCATATGTAGCTTTCGGAGGGATCCGCAGGCCTGTAAGATGCATGGAATCCAGTGCATGGGGCCATGCACGTGTCTGCCGAAAGGAGGGCTGTAAGAAAGTCGATTGACGATATCCGCAGGGCTGGTAGTCGGGGCTGCGCCCCTGGATTTGTGCAACTTCACCCGTTCGTCTACCACCACGCTGAGCACTCCCACGGTGAAGCGCAGCGTACTCAGTTTGCGCAAACAGAGCGTTGCAACCTGTGTAGGATGCACGTTCACGACGGGGTTTATTACTCCACGGGCTGGTGCGCACCAGGGCGGTTGCCCGTCAGGACGCCTTAAAAAAACTTTAGCGCCTGTGCTCGCGCATTTCGTTCCTTTTTGTGACATGGTATGTCTTCCGGCAAGTCTTGGTGGAGGGAACAGCACGAGGCTCTAGGCCCGCGTTGTTCTCAAAACCACTACAATTCGTCGATCGCAATACCCCTACTTGTCGTGTTCTTTAGTATTGCCTCCTGCTAGATGTACCTAGACTGTGGTACGCACCCAGAAACGCCCACCATTTGCGTTCGGCGAAGCAAGCCACAGCGGGACTAGGCCCATCTGTTCGCTGATTGTTGGCTTGCTCAGCGCGAGCATACTGTGTACTCTGCCAATACGATAAGAGTAAGTACGTGCGCCCAGCTGTCATTGGAGCGAAGGCGTCTAGCCGACGCAGTGGCGTTGACGTTTCGGGCAAACGTCCTGATGGCGAACATGCAGAGCGGTTCGGCATGGCTGCTCTAATATCCACCTGCACGCGCCACCTTGGGGTTGTCGTATCGTTGAAGGAGACACCCCGTTGTTTGTAGTCGGTGGCGTTTCGGCACGGCATTATTATCGACAGGGTATTGGCCTCTAGTCTGAATTCTGTCCAACCCGCGCAGTGCTATTCGCGAATGCACCGGTCGACTTCTCTCTCACGCCCCAGCACGGTAATATGTTCCCGTCGGGCGAGCACGCTTCTGTCAGTGTACTTATGTACTTACGGACAAGACGGCCAAAAGTATATTAACCAGACGGCTTCCTGTGTCTTTCTTAGTTTTTGACCCGGATTCTCGGTACCTACCCCGGACCCGCAGACCTCAATTATGAGACTCCCTCTTCCCGTGGCCTTTTCGGGTCTGTCTCTAATAGTAGGTGCGCCGGCAAGCGCCTTTGAGCCCCCTAACTTCGATATAACCAAGGCGCTCCTAGACAAAGGGATCAACGTCACGGCCACCCCTGGTCTGACAGAGCTAGTCGACGCATCTTCGCCCGCCGCCTGCTCGATAGCTGTGAGTGTGCTTAGTCGATCATCATAGCTTGCTTAGATCGTGAGCTAATGGCATACGTACCTAGTGTTCCACTCTCGAACGCACTTACGGCAACGACAGTGTGCTTGCGCAGGGAAGCTCAGGATACAGCAACTTTACTGGCGATTACTGGGCGGCGCAGCAAGCTGCAGTCAAACCCTTTTGCATATTCAAACCTAGCGATGCTTCACAGGTATCAGCCGTTGTCTTGCTATCCCGATTTACCCAATGTCCTTTTGCAGTGAAAGGAGGCGGGCATGCTGCGTTCGCTGGAGGGTCGAGTATTGAAGGTGGCATCACAATTGCGCTTCAGAAGCTCAATCAAAAGTCCTTGTCGCCAGATCATAGTGTAGCTTCCATTGGGCCAGGTAACACCTGGGGTGATGTATACCCATGGATTGAGCAGTATGGACGAGAAGTCATTGGTGGTAGGGTATGTTTCCAAATTCCTTTTCATGGTCTTCCCCGTCTTGATTTTATTGAAAGGATCCCGAATGTCTGACAACAATTAGATATCCTCGGTCGGGGTTTCTGGATTGACCCTTGGAGGAGGGATCTCTCACTATTCCAACGCCTACGGATGGGCTTGTGATAATGTTGAATCGTTCGAAGTAGTAATAGCGTCGGGTGAAATCGTTACTGCAAGCGCTGAGGAATATCCCGATCTCTACTGGGCTCTTCGTGGCGGCGGCAACAATTTTGGCATTGTTACACAATTCAACACAAGGACATTTCTTCAAGGTCCAATGTGGGGTGGGCAGCGTGCTCACACCGAAGACCAGTGGGACAAGCTGTATCAAGCCTACTACAACTTTGCGATCAACGCCGAAAAAGATACTAAGCAGGCTCAAATTGTCTCATTCGCGCTGCAGAACGGTACAAAGATTGCAGCAGCGGACCTTGAATACTCCGACCCGACCCCTTGGCCTCCTGTTTTCGACGAATGGAAGGCCATTCCAGCAATATTTGACCAGACCTCTGTTGCCAACATGTCAAAGTTGGCGAACCAGCTTGGCGCGGGGACCCCCGATGGCATACAGGAGACTTATTGGGATATCACCTTCAAAGTGGATAAAGATATCTTCAAGACTTTCATTGACATATTCTTCGATATGGTGCCGGCAATTGCAGACGCCGCCGGGGTCCTGCCCGTGCTGTCATTCCAAGCAATCACCGTTCCAGCTATGCGGAAAATGCAACAGAATGGCGGCAATCCACGGGGCCTCAATCCCGATGACGGTCCCATCTGCATCAGCAACCTTGCCATTATGTGGACAAACGTTGCTGATAACAGGCGCATCATGGCATTTTCCAATAGCCTGATGGAGCGTCTTACTGCTGAAGCGGATGAGAGGGGGCTCTACAGTGACTTCATTTACATGAACTATGCATCACCCTACCAAGATGCCATTGCTAGCTATGGAGCAGACAACAAGCAGAGGCTGCAAGACATTGCGGCCAATTATGACCCCACGGGCGTCTTCCAGACACTCCAACCTGGTTACTTCAAGCTCGATGGAGCGCCATATGGGGGAATATCCTCTTAGTCCATGTACAACATTTTATTGTATAATGTATATGTATATTCTGTAGATAGACGTACAAATGTCCACATGAATGTCGGTGCACAGTCACGTTGCGTGATTTGCTTTTTTCCGGGATTTTCTTGTATACGCAACCTGAGAATGGCAAGCATGTGCCAAAGGTACACATGCTGCACAAGGCCGTGCCGTGCTTCCAAATGATAATGCGCCAATGGGAAGAGCCTGATGACGAGCCGTTCCTTCGATGGAAAACTTGACGTCGACGGAATGAGGCTGCCAAGAATGTGGTCATAGCGCCCGCCCAAGCGTTTGCTGCAGCTACCTCCAGGTCTTTTTGTCCGCCTTGGAATCTTCCATCAACACCCACATACCCCAAAGCCGACCACCCACCTCTTAATCGCAACCCTCGCACCACTTGGACGTATACGCGACACCGATATCCATATTGCAAGCATGTCTCGCGGCGGCGGCACAACGCTCTACGTCACCGGCTTCGGCCACGGAACACGCGCTCGCGACCTTGCCTACGAGTTCGAACGGTATGTCTCCCAACGCCTCGTCCCAACTCGATCGCCCTCGCATCTTCCTCCTCCATCATAACCATCGATCCTGCATCTCCTTGCTGTTCACGCTCCGCTGCTGTTGCGACTGCTCCCTCGCGCGTTCCCGCTTTCTTGCTCGCGTAAGCAGCGCCTGCACCAGGTTTCATCACGCATAAAGCGCCTTCCCGAAACTATTCTGACAACATTCAAGCTATGGTCGCCTTGTCCGTTGCGACATTCCGGCTCCCCGTTCGGCTTCGTCTAGGCTGTGAGTTGGCCCTCCACCTCAGCCACCTTCCCAGGCTCTAACAGAACAGCAGCTTCGCCTTCGTCGAATACGAGTCTCGCCGGGATGCCGATGATGCGTACCACGAGATGCACAACAAGCGCATCGGCCGCGACGACTTGTTGAAGATTGAGGTATGTTTAGGAGGCTACTACGGACGCAATTGAATCTAACAAGGCACAGTGGGCACGTACTCCTCCCTCGGCATCATGGCGCTTCGATTCCGGACGTGACCGCCCCCGTGGTGAGCGCTCTGAGCGTGGCGGTGACCGAGGCGACCGTTCCGACCGCGGTGATCGTGCAGACCGTGGAGTGCGCTCTCCACGCCGTCGTAGCACTTCCCCACGCCGTGAACGCGGTGCATCCCCTCGCAAGGATGACCGCCGCGAACGCGACTACGACCGCCGTGACCGTGACCGATCAAGGAGCCCCATTGACGGGGACCGCGAGATGAAGGATGTCCGCGACCGTGAGGACGACCGAGGCGACCGTGATCGTGGAGACCGCGAAGAGAGGCGCGAACGTGAGCGCGAGGCTGAGCCGCCTGCTGAACCCCGAAAGAGTGAGACATCCGATGCCCTTGACGACAAACCGGTCTAATCACCATCGCAGTCGAATCTCCTCCGCCTGCGGCTCATGACGACCTGGACGTAGCTGAGTAAGCCATGAGCTGGCAACCCTCCAGCAGGCAGTATCCGGATTACTGCCGCCGTGTGCACAAGGCTAGTATTGACGCGCGTGCTCGAAATTGGTACCTGCACAGTGTTTTTGTTGAGCGGATAATGGTTTCTGGGATCATGTTTTGTTTCTCCGAGTGGAGGCTAGAGTTACGTCTATGTCCTGCCACGACATTAATGCATTCAGCAGTCGAAAAAAGCTCGATTCGGATCTTCTTTGGCGAACGGTCACGGCGATTACCATTCGGTTCGGTCTTCTCGCCTTGTTTCGGTCGATCGGTCGACATCGATGCGGTTCGAGTTCCTTGCCTCCTGTACACTATTCGGTCGGTCCGTAGCACCTCGAAGTCTTCCAACCTCACTTTCCCTCTTCGATTCCCCCCGTTCGATTTCAGCTTCCCGCTATTTCCCGACGCCCTTCCCAAACCCGATGCGAAACACCCGATACTCAAGGTTTGTATACTTTGCGCCTGCTACTAGATAGCCCCATGTTATTTTGTGACTGTGACTTGTATTGCCTATGTATTGAGCAGCTTGTAAGCTTAGTTTCGTTCAATGTACGCCCGGACTGTTGAGATTTGCCGTGTCCTCGTGACTGTCTGGGGATCTGTGCTTTGCAGGTGCGTTGATGCGTATATTTGCACCAGACGCCGTGCATCCCGTGTACGCAAAGATTACCGTATTGATGTTGAGTATCCGCAGCGTGGCGCATGACAAGGTGCCACGCGCCTTGGAAGGTCGGAGGCGGTTTACGCTGAGAGGGTGAATACGGTCCACACTATGACAAAAGTGGCTTAGACTATCCGCCACGCAAGCTCAGCCACCCTCCTTCGTACGCCGCGACAACTGATGTGTGATCAACTCGGCACTCAGGTTCACCTATTATCCGAATAGTCGCTCGTTTTTAATACATCTTCTACACACTTACACTTCGCTCATTCATTTCCTTTCGATTGACATTGTCTTTGACGCCACAACACCGACCGGGACAGCATAGGTGATACAAATAGTCGATCGACAACGGACCAGACATTGCCCAGCTTTGCCGCGGAACGCGTGCAGCGACCTCCTTCTAAGATTTGCCTCTTAACTGGTGACTCTTTCGCTTCTACACTACAAACTTGACAACTTCTTTCACAAACCGCCAACATGTCCAAACCATATGTACGTGTCCTTAACCTTGGTTGAACGATGGGCGGTTGCCATTCCACTCTCCTGTGGCGCGCACTGCCGTCGCCATTCCTGTTTGGCACAATGAGCGCAGCATATTAACGCCCAACGCAGGACCAAGGCGCACCGCCTCAATACCCTCAGAATCCAGCGCCTGTTCACTACGACGCTGGTCCTGCTCCTGGAGGCATGCAACCCTCATACTATAACCAAGGTGGCGGTGCCCCTGATTACTACGGCGGAAGCCCGAACCCTTATCAGCAAGGCCAACCAGGACCGTACGGTCCGCCACAGGGCCAGTACGGCCCTCCTCAAGGACAGTATGGTGGACAACAGATGCAATACCAACAGGGACCGCCTCCACCCGGTGGATATTACCAGGACGATAGGAGGCATGATGGCGGAGGTGGCGGGCTCTTTGCTGGATTGTGCGCGGGTCTGGCGTGTTGTTGTTGTTTGGACTGCTTGTTCTAGGCCTGCGGGCATGAGGGCTCAGCACTAGGAACAAGAGTATTGGAGTGAGGCAACAGACTGGCCCAAGGTATTCGGGCAGGTCAGAAATGCCGGGCGCATGACGGGCGTGATTGTACATGCGCAGGGGCGTTGGGAGGTAGGGGCGGAGACTGGAGGCTTTGTTTTGTTCCGATGGTAATCTATCCGCGACACGATGCCATGCAGCAATGGCGTAGAGCAATAATCAATCATACGAGTCCCAAGATGCGACGAGGCTGCTGGTATTGTGATTTACATTGCATCATGAATGTGCTACAAGAGCAGGAGGTCAGCCTCTCTATCCAAAACTAGCTTGGTTGTGTCCAGCCACAGGGCGTGTCGCCTCAGGTATGCGGCATGAACATGGTTGCCCTTGGCTTGGGGCACCCGGGGGACCCCGCAGCGGAAACCAAATTGCAGCCGCATCAGCGCTCCAGCTCCAGACTTGACCCTTTGTGAGGAACGCTTGTTCTGAGTTTGGTGCCATTGACGCCGCCGCGCGTTTGGAATCTGTCCCCCGCCTGCTGTGTTTCGTCGGGGCTGATCAGCGGCCGTGTGACCTGTGGGACGGAATCGATCCACCACCCTAGAAAACAACGCTACCCTTGTCTGCGCCATGCACAAACAAATAAAGAAGCAGCGATCTGCACCCAGAAATCAATGTCGTCTGGTCGAAGGCTGGTCTAGTCTGCGCTTGGACGCTCACCTGCACTTCTCGTGATTTCTACATATCGACATCTTGGCCCAGCTCTCCACCTCTTCCGCAACCGTACGCACTCCGCCGTCGCCACCCAACACCATGATAATCAGCGGTTCGATTGTCGCCATTGTGTCCCTCCTCCCTACAGTCTGGTCGGTGCCGACAAACTACACCAACAAGCTGCCTACGTGTGGCGCGGTACGATGCACGTCGCGCTCACGCCGAGCTATGGGCTAACCAAGACGAACAGAACGAATGTCTTACCGACGGCTACTTTGACGGCTGCGCGCCTGGCAACCTAGTCTGTATATGTAACTTGGAGCAAGACGATGTCGACAGATATGTCAAAACCGTGCAGCCATGCCTCGACGGTGAACCAGGCAAGAAGGCATGCACTCTCGGAGCAGTTGCCAGTAAGCCGTCAACATGAACCCCCAATTGCGAACGACTCGTCATCTGACTCTGCCATTCTAGACTACAAACAGTTGCTCGCAGACGTTTGTTCAAAGCCCGAGTACGGCAACTTGAACAAGACTGTCTCGTTTGAGCCAGTGCAATACCCTCCCCGGTGAATTTAGTTGCCGATATTCACGCCAACACGCTTCATGAGATTGCACAAACCACAGCACGACGCCTACGTAATGGATAATAGACACTCCTTTGATACCCTTTGAACACTGTCCTTACTTTCCGTTACTGTTTGATTCTTTACTCTGGCTTTGCAGATACAATTTGCGGTACATCTTTCCAAGGCGCACTCGACGTCCGTCTGCGATATCGGCTCTCCGTCTTCAATTTCGTCTTCTGACCTATCCAACGCTGCTATCTATGACTAACATGTTGGTCATTGAATACTTTTCTATTTCAGCAAGAACTTGAGACCTCCACAATATACAGCAGTTTAACATGAACATCAGAGTCAACAACATTCTGCGTGAATACAACCCGCCTCCGGTGGCTAACTCTCCTTCTCCTTCTTCTCCAAGTCTTGCCGCTGCGACTACTGCATCTTTGACTGTAGCAGATTCTGTACCTTGTCTTGTAAGATGTTCTTGCGCCTTCAAACCGACATCCCAACTAACCCAGCCAGATATCCAAAAAATGCCAGCAAGTTGCGAGAGACAAAGCACCGCCTGACAGCGAAGAGCTTGGCTGCGACAGCGCCGCTCTAGAGTCGGGCTACTTCCGCTGTGTCTGTGCCAAAACACGGTTTCTGGGCCATAACGACTATTTCTCTGCGCATTGTGTACTTCAAGAGTGTAAAGGCGACGGCGATAAGAGAGGTGAGTTTGCAACTACTACGTTTATAGAGTGGGAAACTAAGTCGAGTCTGACATAGCTTTTATAAAGCAGTACAAAGACGGTTGCAAGCAGATAGGAGAGACTCTAGCAGATATTCCTAAGGAATGGACCCCGTTTATGAAACCGCGTGCATCGAGTTCATCACAGCATCCTCCAAGTACAACAGGTGGTAATACACTTGCCAGTGGTACTCCTAGCACCACTACAGCACCAAGCGCGACACCCGACCCAACCAGTTCAGCTACTTCTGCGGAAATAAGTTTCGTACCTGCACCAACACACTCAACCAGCCAAGAAACTCCATCGCCAACCCCATCTTCTTCTCCCGTAGCTGCAATTTTATCAACCCCCCAAAGTACGCCCAACACAGCCGTCATCGCAGGAAGCGCCGTCTCCGCAGTCGTCATCTTCGTCCTCCTCATCGGCCTTGCAAAACTCTACTACGACACCAGGAAGAAAGCAAAAAAGCTCCGCGTCGCGAATGCCCAGCTGGAAGATGCAACGAATCCAGATGGTGTCTCGAACCGCATCGTGACGCTCATGGCCGGGTCAGATAGAGCATCTGTAGCGTCTCGAGGTAGCCCTGTAAGCGATGCGCGCGATGCAGCCGCTTTTCTGAATGGAAATACGGCAGCGCATAACGCGGAGATAGCAATTGCAGCAGCTGCACAATCCAGTGTGAGTGGGGATTATACGGAGTATGGATCTGATAAATATGACGGGTTCGTTTCTGAATATACGGGGTATGGTAGGGAGGATGGGGGTAGTGCTGCGCGCTCTTACGACGGAGGGGTCGTTGGTGCGGAGAGGAGGTTCTCGGAGGTTTCAGAGAGTGATTATGGGAGTGTGAAGTATTAGAGGGTGGGAGATGCGTGTGTGTTTCAATGCGAGGACCAGGGATCTTATTCTGGGAGTAGATTGGTTTTTTTTGGCGAATTCTAGGTTATATTGATTTGACAGGGATTTTGTACACTGTCTTTAATGCTTGCTTGTGTGGTGCCCATGACCTTTGGAAGACGAAGTAGTCTTTCTTGTCTTCTTCCACACTCCCTGTAGATAAGTGCATATTCTCCTCATCCTAAAAGCCCCAGAAATATCCAAAACCCCAACACATTTACAACTCTATGTTGAGAACGTAGATACCGCCATTGATCCCCCCTCCCATATTTCCGTTTCGCCATCAAGCCCAAATCTTATGTAAGTATACAGGAAGGAACCAACCACCCCAAATTGTTGATCATGTCTCCCTGTTCCCGAAATTGAAGTTGTATACCCATCTTTCTTGTATTCCCAATCCGTAGTCGTATGCCCACTCTTCGTCTCTCTCAATCTCTAGTTATGCACCCACCCTTCCTGTTTCCCCAATCTCTAGTTGTACACCCACTCCTCTCACACAACCATGTGTCATTACCCACCACCACCTTCCCCCTCTCCACCCTTCATCTTCTGTTCTCCTGCTTTTTTTTATCAACAACTTTATCTCCGATCCAAGTCTCTCGACAAGCTCATCTCGCACACACGTACAACCTCTCATTCTTTCTTTTCTCCGGTTTCGACATGCTTGATAGATTGTTTTCCGAATAGCACTTGAAGTAAATGCAGCATGGGAAGGGCGCTATATAGAAGAAGCTGGGAAGGGAGGGCCCCCGCAGACCATACAATCACCTTTTCGCTCGAACCTGACACCAATCGGTGATCAGCGGAAGGAGAGGCTCAGGCGCGTCTAATCGCTCAGTGAAACAAGGTACGATTGTGCTTTGCGTAGTCGTCGTCGTCAGGTGGAAGGTATCTCAGAGAATAGTCGTTCATCTGGGGATATAAGACTGCCGTGAGTTGTAAGTTTGTTCGTGTGTTGAGTCTTCGGGGAAGACCTGGATGTGTTCTGAAGGCTGATGGTAGAGGCGACCAGGTTCATGTCCAGTATCAATACCTCGAATACAGACGTCCACTAACATACCTCACCACCTGAAGGAATCGCAATCACCAGTAGTGGCACTTACTGACCCTTCGACTGCTACTGCACCAAGGTAGTAGCTTCAACGCCAAAGATCTATAGAATTAGCGACTTGAATATTTTGTCCATGCCTTGCTTCTCGGAGAGTGTGTATATATGGAGTGATATGGGGACAAGAGAGCATGTTGGGGTTGATTGGGACGGTCTATATGCAAAGAGTCTTGTGGGTTTATACGTTTCCGGTTCGGTCTCGTCGGCGGCCCGAGAATCGAGATGAGCTAGGGGTTTTCCGTCTAGAGGACATGATAAAAAGAATCCAGACGCCAACCCGCTTGAAGTGTTTGTAGAAGGTGTGAGAGAAGAGCAAAAGTCAAGTTCCTTGGCGTTGATGCTTTTCGATATGATCGAAAGTGTGTCGGCTCAGGTGATTGAGTCGTCGTGCCGGGTACTCGATTTGTAGGATATTCCGGACACGTGTAGATCGACGGGGGAAGGTGAACTCCTATCTTGAGCGCTTGACTGACGGCTGATATGTGGGTGTTGATGACACCCGGTATAGATGCGGTATCTTGCTGCGTACAATAATGTATCGCTGTACTGTTCTTGCATATATACGTTGAATCATTTGGTCCGTGGCTCCTATGAGAGCCGGATTGACCCAGACGAGGCTACAGTTTTGGGTCTTCTTTCCAGTTGTCGTTTCTTTGACTTGTACCGTCCGCGGGATGTACTCGCCGTAGAGGTATCCGTGACATACCGAGAGAGAGGTCATCCAGTTATATATTTGCTTATTATCTTCTCATTTCATGGCATTTATCTGGGCCGGCGTATAGGTGGTCAGTGGCTGCCGTATGCGTTGGTGGCAGTCTTCTAGTTCATGAGAATGTACTCCGTGAGACCAAGATGTATCTGCATGCTTTTGGCCGTGATCGAGTTTCTTAATGTCCAACTGCACATTCTATCTCGACGTTGGAAAGATTTTCAAGTGCGGAAGATACTTTGGGAGTTCACTTACTCGTAGATATACGCGGTGTTTCGTCGCAGGGTATATAGGAATGCTGATGTGTATACTTTGGGCGGGATTAGTTCATCCTTTTATTTATTCTGATCATGCCATTTCTGTAAAGTTTCTGACTGCGTTTGTGTATAGTCAATGTGGTTGCGCAAATACGTTGATTTGTTTTTAGTGCAAGATCGTTGATGTCAAACTTCGGATTGCTGCAACTACAAAAAGCAAAATTTTCTCCAAACCAGAGAAGCTGAGGAATGAAACTAGGGTTACATGACAATTTTGTTTCAAATGAGGAGGAAGAATCTAGAACAAGTACTCTGTGGTTTCTAGCACAGCTGCTTTGTCACCACTTGTGTAGCTGTATCATAACTGATCATAGATTGAAGACCCTAAACTCCCCCTTGAGATGTCATTAGGAAGACAAGTTTTCACCTATCAATCGAAAATTGGAAAACGAGTGGCATCTGGTTTGCCAGCACATAACAAGCATATCACGATACTCTTTGGGAAGCAATCGTTGGAGCAAATAACGGTCTACTTGATGTATTTGCTAGAACATGGGAGAAGTTTGGGATGAAGGTTTGCTTTAGGAGAACAAGGAAACAGCGGAACGAAGAAGGCTAGGGAATTCTTGTTCTGACTTAGGTTGCAATTTTGGATTACACCAGATCGTGATGAGGTCTACGAAAATGTTTAGTGAGGGATGAGTGTAATGGAATTTTCAGGTATTTGCAGAAGTATTCAGGCCTTGATAATCTCGACAGGAGTTTTACTTCAAAGAGCTACCCTGGGTGTTTTCTAGTAAGTATTTAAATACATCATCCTTGATTTCAGCACTCTTGTGACTTCCTGTTAGCACAAAAGTATCGCAAAGTATGCAATTCTCATCAGACGCGACAAGGGTCGAGTATTTCTGACTAACAATTGAGCAACGACAGCTATACGCCATTTATGGAGAATTATCACGTGTCTGTTTACATCTATGAATGTTATAAACGATGGCTCCATTCTGTGTCAGCAATATTCTACACGCCGACGCCTGGAGCGGGGCTGTGAGGCACGTGCACAGACCAGTCATACGTCATCATCGACTGCGCCTTCACCACTCGTCAACACCCCTCAGCCTCAAAGATACCCAGTTTTTACAGCCACTTCTCCGAGACGTACGTATTTGTAGCATCCCGAGATCTCCGCAGTCACCCTCCAAATCCGCAGCATCATAAATATGGCTTCGCATAACACCGACAACCCATGGCAAGACCAGCCTAGTCAGCAGCAGCAAAGCTACCAGAGCCAAAACCCGTACCAAACCTATCAAAATCAGTCTCACAACCCATACTCTCAACAAATGCCACCAAATCCTCTAGGCCAACATCCTCCTCAGCAGCATGATACATCTCCATGGGCCCAAGAGACCGGCCAAACCCAATCTCACAACCCTTACGCCCAGACTACCCCTCAGGAGACTTCTCAACACTCATACTATCAACAAGACACACCACAGCAACCCTACCAGGGTCAGACATCCAATACTACTCAAGGAGAGGTACCACCTGGTCTGCCACCCCGCCGCACAGCCACGGAAATGGCGCTCCCTACTGGGCAAGACCGCTCTCACCAGATCGAGGTTATGCAGAGCTATGAAGCGGCAGGAAGAAAAGACGATGACGACGAAAATGTCGAGATTCTCCAACGCGAGTTTCCAAAGCTCGATGGAAGCCTGATTGCCGCCATTTACGGCGACAGTAAGAGTCTGAGTGCGACTAGGGAGATGTTACACGCGTTGGAGTAGATGGAGGGGTTCTGTGGAAGTTGGGGTCAGATTGGAGATGCACTAAGCGGATCCGGATGGGTTGGAGAACGAAAGTATACTCGGGGATCGCAGTGTACCTTGTTGGAGGCTTATGTGTGCATGGCTTTTCCCCCTGTTAGTATTGAGTTTATCGTGCAGTTTAAATCGTTGACGACCTTTGAGGTTCGCCAGGCAACCGCCTCCACCTACATTATATCCACTGAACACCACAACATCGTTACGATACTACTATGAGTTTCACATGCAGTGATGAAAAAATAAAATCAACCTTCAAGAAATACGAGAGGTAGGCCGATTGGTGTGTTTACGTGCATCCAGTGGGACGAGTATTTGGAGCAAATGAGACACAAGGCGGGCCCTTAGGACCACGGCTCAAGCACATGCAAAGGCCCGCTAAGATCGCTTGTTCGCTCGGGCTAAGTCTAGCCGACTTCCCCCGTCACTTCTGTGCGAGACTCCACTCGACAGCCCTGGTGTTGTGAACACACCATCGCCTGTGGTGCTGCTGCCACATGAAAGTCCTATCATCTTTTGCAAGATGCTCGTTGTAATGATCATACGCCACACGCTCAACGCCAATACCTACAAGTCATAAAAGCCAACCTACAAACCATCTATGACTAAGAAAACGCAAACGTGACTACCGTACATAGGCGCTGCATTGCCGACGAACCTTCCTTACATCCAACACGGCATTCCCCAATCTGGCAACCCCGCACAACGCCCAGTCCGCCAATACAACCACAATCTTGATTTTCTAGCTAGGATCCCATACGACATTCCCTTTCCCCCGCAAAAGACAGCCGTTCCATAGCAACTTTTTTCTCCACATTTCCCCACATTTACCCCGGGCCTTAGACTACCACCATCCATCAAGGGCATCCAAACACTACTATGATCGTCCTGGAGATGCAAAATGCATTAGGCCTGTAAAGGAAAAACCGGGTGCATATCAATGCGGGTATCAATGAGTATATAAAAGAGGAGGGGTGGACGTGTTGGTTGGGGGGTGTCCCACAATATTTGTATCAACACCATTGTGAACTACTCTTTGCACAGCAGCGGGTGTATAGAGCAATTTTTTCTTTTCAGGATGGGTTTTACAGAGTTTAGGGGCAAGAGCCTTATTACTATCATTCTTTTGACCTCGGGGCTGGACTTTTTGCTCTTTGGATGTGAGTGTGCACGCTGTAACACGTAAACCGTCCAAGTAATCGGAATCTGACACTTTGGCTAGATGATCAGGGTCTTTTTGGGGGTATCCTCGGCGGCCAACGCTTCAAGGATACGCTGGGTAATCCGAATCCTACGATGACGGGACTTGTGACAGCCATCTACGATATAGGATGCGCGCTTGGTGCTGTTGTTGCGTTTGTGTATGGAGAGAAGATTGGGCGGAAGCGGTCGATTATTCTTGCCAATCTTATCGTCGTTGTGGGAGCTGCTATACAGACTGCTAGCTTTGAGTATTGGTTAGCAAATCCCCTTTTCAGGATAAAAGAGAAACGTACTGACATTTCATACTTCTCTATAGGCAAATGTTCGTCGCTCGCATCATTGGCGGTATCGGTGTCGGGCTCTCGACGGTTGCAGTGCCAATTCTGCAGTCGGAAACACTACCTGCACACAACCGTGGTGCGTTACTGGTTGTCCAGTCTGCTCTCATCATCATTGGTGTTGCGATTGCTTCTTGGCTATGTTTCGCGACACTGTATGCCAATAGCTCGCTGCAATGGCGCTTCCCTGTTGCTTGCCAGATTTTGTTCTCGCTCATGGTCCTGGCGCTCTGTCCGTTCCTATGCGAGACACCGCGATGGCTGGCATCTCGTGGTCAAATCGAGGAGGCAAGTCCAATCAATATGCACTAAAGTGTTATTACTGACGCTGTAGATAGGCTAAGCATACTATCAGTCGGTTGCTTGACAAGCCTCTCGATGATGAAGAAGTTCAGGGACAGCTACAAGAGATTCTCGATGCTATTGAGGCCGAGAGCAGCGAGGAGGAGCCCACCTGGGGTGAAGTCTTCAGCAATGCCACCAAGACTCGAAACTTGCATCGTGTCCTTCTCGGCATGGGCCCGTACATGATGAACCAGTGGTCGGGCATTAATGTAAGTTCTCTTTTGCTTGAGTTTTACACCTAGATACTGACTTGGGCACAGGCTCTCTGCTACTACCTCGCCTACATCTTCCAAGAATATCTCGACTACACGCCGAGCATGGCTCTCATCCTCGCGTCCGTTGCCTTTAGTCAATACGCAGTTTTCTCTTGGCCTCCATACTTTTATATCGACAAGATTGGGCGGCGCTGGTCAGTCATGGGATCTTCGGCTGGTTGTGCAGCCTGCATGGCCATAATCGCTGGTTGTCTGGCCAAGAACAGCTTCTCGAGCGCAGCAGCCGCAGTGGCATTTATGTTCCTGTACTTGGATTGCTTCACGCTTGGCATCTTGCCCGTATCGTGGTCCTACTCTGCCGAAATCCAGCCTCTTCGCGTTCGTAACAAGGCCACGGCTGTGGGTGTCTTCTCGCACTGGATGTCTAACTTTGTCGTCGTCATGGTGACACCCATTGGTCTCGACAACATCAAGGGCCACTACTTCTGGGTCTGGGCTGCTGTTTGCGCGTCCTTTGTACCGCTTACATACTTCTTTGGCGTGGAGACGTCTGGAAGGACGCTCGAGCAGATTGATACGATGTTCTTCGAGAAGCCAAGAATCTGCATGGGTCTAAACAAGGAAAATAGGCAGGTCATCAGGAGCACCAAGTCGGATGAAGAGCAGAGGTACAGGAATTTTGCGCACATGAATGAGAAGCAGGAGGCGGTTATGGTGGAGAGAGTGAGCCAGGGTGATTGAATGTAGCTTCCCACGTACGTAGTCATTGCAGCGTTCAAGTAGCACAGTGATATCAAGTTATATGAATCCCATAGCAACAAATTCATTTCATGAAGAGCGCAGCGTGTATCATTAGCGACAGTAACATATGTTCCCCCCTTTCCTCCATGTGCTCATAAAAACAAAACAGAAAAAAGAAACTTCAAGGTTCATCCAAAAGTCCATCACGGTTCGCCCTGAATCCGGTACTCATGCTCAAGCGCCTTGATAGCAAACGCCGTAGGCACACCCCGATTTCCAATCTTCTTCTGCGACCTTCCAAACCTGCACACCCAGCCAATTTCCCAGCCTCCATCGCACTCCTGCAGCTCCTTGAGATACTCAATATCGGACTGGGCCCAAACCCCCAACTTCTGACACGACAGCACCCTTGCCGCAACGGCAAACGAATCATCTTTCTGCCCGACCCTTTCTCGCAGCGCCATCGCCAACGGCTCTCTCAGGGCTTGAATCTCAGGCTGACTCTGATTCGCATCAACCAGACAGGCCATAAAGTACAAAAACGGTTCTGCGGAGTTATAAACTGCGCTACCATTTACGTAGGCGCGGTTAAGCAGGATACGGGTGACGTATTCGAGTTCGGGTTTTACTTCGCTGCCGCGGTTGTAGTGGTAAAAGACGCGGATTACGTTTACCAGCACAAAAGGGCAGAGCCCGGGCCGGTTGGGGTCGAAGTAGGTTCGTACGAGGTTGTCTCTAGTGTGACGGCATTTGGCCATGAGGTCGAGGATGGGGTTGGCGGAGGAGCGGGGTGGGGAGAAGGCGAGGAGGGCCATGGATGTGTCGTCGACGTCGTCGGGGACTGTGAGTGTAGATTTATTTAGATTTGGGGGGGCTCAGGAGAGGGGAGGTAGAGGGTGGGAACTTACATGTTTTTGTTGTGCCTACGGGGGTGCCGTTGAAGTAGTTCCAGGTTCTTGCTTCGGAAGAAGCTTTTTGGATGTCGGCTTTGATTTGGGCCTCTGAGGCACCGGGGACGGATAGGGTGAGCCATGAGGTTTCTTTGAGTTCCCATTGTATGAGAAACTGAGAGAATCGTTCAGGGAACTCTGTACCGTCTTCTATGCGTGAAGTGTGTTTGTGTGTGTTGTTGGCCATATACTTGCGTGCCCGGACGACAGGGTCGAAGAGCGTGTTTCGCAATTGGCGGAGGAGAGCTGGTGCTGATTTGAAGACGATGCCCTGAATTCCAAAGGAGCGTGCTGCAGTGACGTTGATGATTTTGTCGTCGACGAAAATGGCCGATGACGGGTCACTGACGCCAATTGTATCAAGGACGTATTTGTAAAAGTTGAGCTCGGGCTTGGCCATGCCAGCGTCACACGACGTAAATTCGCCATCAAACATACTCCAGTCAGACAGCACAGTCTTGAGATGTGCAAAGTCGTGCTTGGAGATGTTACTCATGGCGTAGACCTTGAGGTGCCCATCCATCTCTTTCTTGATCTTTGCAATCTCATCGACGAGATCCTTGTCTACACAAAGGGTTTTGCGGCATTGTGTCAAACCTTCCTTTATTGCTATTGGGTCTAGGGACAGATCTTTGCCTATCTTTGCGAGAGCTTCGTCCTCGCCAATGTGACCGCGATCAAGCTCGGCCCATGTGGGAGTCAGAAGAACTGCCTGGAATTCTTGACGAGAAAGGGCTGTGAGATAGCGAGAAGAGTAATGAAAGAGCACGTCACCGAGATCGAGAATGAGTGTGCGGTGGCGTGCTGGCGTGGAAGCGTCCACATTGACCCTCCCGTTCCCTAGCTGAAAAGCGGCACGGCCCATGATAGTAGCGTTTCTAGTAGGATGATCACCCGCGGAGTAGTGAGAAGTATAATGATTACTCGATGAATTTCAAGCAGAGCCAAAATAATTTGTGAAAATCTGTCGCCATTGTGGAAGGGCGAAGACCCATTTCTACCCATTTTGCATTGGCCGGTCTTCATGATCGACACCAGGTTTTGGCTATTCATGATTCAGTTGCAGCACAATCAGTGAATCGTTAGCGTTGATAAAGCGGTGCGTTTATGTTGTCGTTGACTAAACAAGTAAGGATATCAACAGTAGTCATGTTAGACCGTTGTCCAGACGGATTCGGTAGGAATTAGGCGCCATACCCGCCGTAAGGAGACTGGCTATTCGCTACTCCTTCCGTTGTTGCGCGCTTCTTGTCGGTCTGTGTCCAATGGAAATATCGTTGATAGGCAAGGAGGAGGCGCGGCCTTGGCATTATTGTAGGATTTGGGGTAAAAGCTCTCCAAAGTAGTGGATCTGCTATGTTCCTCGGAGCTGGCCTCGTATGATAGGGTCGGAAAAGTTGCCCCTCATGGCCTGCAGAGACAAGAACAGAAGTCTGCCATGATTCGAATGTCGAGTCCCTGTGAATAGACGGGTTGTGTATTGTGTATTGTATATTGCACAAAGGCAAAGGGGATGACTGATGATTTGAAGCTTGCAAGATGTGCAATGGCGCCAAGAAGAATGACTCGTAGTTGAGTACGTGATCCTAGCAATTCTAATTTTCCTGGCGATCCTGCCAATCCTACAGAGAAATGCGTAGGCGTGTCGCGGGTATGCCGCTTTGGGGGATTTAGGGAGGATGGCGATAGTCGTTGGACGGGGGTTGTGGCGTGCAGGGGGAGCCCAAGCCGTTGGAACCTTGGCCGCGTGTCGCCCCGGCCCAGCGTTCCGCGTCTGCGTCCAGTTCCCAGCCCGACCTGTAGCTTCACCTTACGTACATGGACAGCCGCCATTACCCCACGCACGCCCCACCACAGACAACAACGACGCCGTCTCCAAGCACCACAACTACACACATATACACACAATGGCGCCTCCAGTATCTTTAGTTGTACGGTTTGGCGACACGCTTCAAGGCAACAGCACCCCGGGAAGGCTAATGAGGGGTAGGCGAAGCTCAAGATACAGCTCAAGCTGTCTATATCGCGACTGCGCATGGTGCAGCAAAAAGACAGCGCAAAAGTAAAGCAGCAAAGGCGGGAGATGGCGCAGCTCATCGAGGTACGCATGGCAACGTGCCCGTATTTCCCTTGCTTTTCATCGCAATGAAAAAGACCGCGCAAGTGACCGCGCGTATACCACCCATCACCCACCACCTGCTGACCTGATCCCCCCTTCCCACTAGGTCGGCAAAGTCCAATCCGCAAGGATACGCGTAGAAAACATTATTCGCACAGACATCACCACCGAGCTGCATGAGATCCTCGAACTCTACTGCGAACTCTTGCTTGCCCGCTCCCAGCTCCTCGAAAACCAGATCTCGTCTTCAAACACGACCTCGGCGGCTTCGTCGTCGGCGACGCTGCTCGACCCCGCATTGGAGGAGGCCGTCCGCAGCATAATATACGCTGCGCCGCGCACGGAGATCAAGGAGCTGCAGACGGTCCGGGCGCTGCTCGTGGATAAATTTGGCAAGGATGTCGCCATAGCCAGTATGGAGGGCGAGGGTGTTGCAGAAAGAGTGATCAAGAAGCTGCGGGTGGAAACACCAAAGGAAGAGTTGGTAGAGGCTTACATGACGGAGATTGCAAGATTCTACGGCGTGCCTTATGGCATATCTAAGAGCGAGGACGAGGCTGAAGACGATGAAGACGACGACGAACCCTCGGGCGGAGTCGCCGAAAGAGCTGAAGGAGTGCTCGAAGACCCACTGACTGCAGACGATGCGGACCCCAGTAAAAGTAAGAAGGCGGAGGAGAGAGAGGCCCTGGCCAAAGCCACAACACCAAAGAAACTTGGCCCCCAAAGTCCGCTGCGAGTCGTGCCTCCCAGCCCAAGCACAGATAATGTCGCTCCCAGGTTAAAGCTGCCAGGCAGTGCGGCGGCCAAAATCGCAAAGAGCGATGCGAAGAAGCCGGCCAAGAAGGAGGATGGGCTCGGCAAGATACCAGACGTCGATGAACTGTCGAGACGATTTGCTGAGCTCAAGAGGTGAGATGTAGGACATGTTCTATGTGGAAGCACTTGCATCCTATGATGAAGCATGACTCTAAAGATCCTTATATGATACCATGACCAGTTCACAATCACATCGCATCAAGTCCAGTCAAGAAAGGTTGTTTGTTCATTCATTAAATTAGCAGTCTGCTTTTCTCGCTCGCTATGCTCTCACCCTATCATGGACCACACCCTTCACAGCGCCTGAATGCTCTTGAAAAACCCATTCGCCATCAACTTCTCATTTCCCTTGACCAACTCCCTCATCCGCTCCACCTGCTGCTTCTTCGTCAACCCCTTACTCTCCACCTCCTTTTTCCACTCCACCAGCACCTCTTTCAGCAAGCGACTCCCATCCTCGACCTCCTCCTTACTCGCCTGCACAAACCCCTCTTCATGCTTTCCAGAAAAGTCTTCAAGCTCATCCGCCTTGCGCTTCGCCATATTGATGACTTTTTGCGGGAAGCGCACCAGTTCCGCGACGTGAATACCAAAAGACTGGTCAGAGAAACCCGGTTCTACCTTGTAGAGAAGCGTGACTTCGCGTTTCTTCTGCGCAGCCGCATTCTCCATGTCTACATCGCCATCGTCGTCGGCGGTGCTGCTGCCCTCGGAAATATGCGCTACGACGTGCAGATTCTGGACCTGCGGATACGTATCCGTGAGTGCGGTCAGTTCGTGGAAATGTGTGGCAAACAAGGCAAATGCCCCAATCTCCTTGATGATGTACTCGGAGATGGCCCACGCCAGTCCGAATCCATCGTACGTACTTGTTCCGCGGCCCAGCTCGTCGATGATGATGAGGGATTCCTTGGTGGCGGATTTGAGGATGTTTGCTGTTTCGAGCATTTCGGCCATGAAGGTAGATACGCCTTTGATTTGGCTGTCGCTGGCGCCCACACGTGCGAGTATGCAGTCGAAGATGGTGAGTTCGGCTTCTGAACAGGGGACGAAGCATCCGATTTGGGCCATGAGAGCGATGACGCCGATTTGGCGGATGTAGGTCGATTTACCGCCCATGTTGGGTCCTGTGATGATGAGGAATTCGCTCTTGTCACGGACTAGGGAAACGTCGTTTGTTATGAAGGAAATGTCGTCTTGCATTTCCATACATGGGTGTCGCGCTTCTTTGAGAATGGTATCGCCGGTACCTCGTGGGTGCATCTTGGGCCTTGTGTACGAGGTTGGCGCATGAACGGAGACATGTGCAAAGGCTACAATGACATCGAGGTGTGCAAGCACTGCGGCGAGCTTCTCGATGACAGGGACGTAGGATGAAGCTACCGAGACGACTTCGTTGACTAGACCTGCTTGTGTGCGGTTGTAGTTTTCAGACAACTGGTCAAACTCCCTGCGCTTTTCTTGTAGAGTATTTGTTGTGAAGTAGACACCGTTCTTCTGTGTCGAGATTTCCTGGTACTGCTTCTTTTGTCGAATGCAACCTGCTTCATTGCGCGTCAGACGGAAGCACCAGCCATTGACTTTGTGATTTTCAAGGAAAAGCTTCTTCTCTGTATCTTGATTAAGGTCGTCGCCCACACGCATATGCTCAGATTCCATGTCGCGCTTGAGCTTATCCAAGCGCTTTCGAATAGTCCTTAGTGATTCATCAAACTCGGGCTTGATGATGAATTCATGATTGTCGAGAGCCTCCAAGTCAACCGTCGTCTCCACCATATCTTGCAGACCGGCAAATGCTGTGGTATATTGGCGGAGTTTCTCCGTGTACTCTGTATCGAGCGGCTCTTTGTATTGCTCATCAATGACTGCCTCGAGAGAGCTGAGGAAACCTGGTAACCGAATGACAACCTGGTATGCCCGCACAACGTCTTCCAAATTTGCTGCCTTGCGTTGGAACTTCTTTGCTAACCGGTATAAGTCAGGTATTGAGCGTAAGTGCTCTTCTTGCATGGTTTGTCTCAGCTCTGTATCATTGGCGAACGCTTCAACCAGCTGCTGCCGTCGTTCAATCTCGCTGATATTCATCAATGGCTGCTTGAGCCATTGTGCCAGTAACCGACTGCCGGTTGGTGTTTTGCAGTGATTGAGCAGACCATACAAACTCATGTTCTTAGCACCATCTCGTGGTCCAGGCATGAGGTTCAGTGCTTTCAGCGCGGCCGCATCGAGCTTCATGTATTGTGACAGGTCGTGTTGGTAGAGCTGATATTGTCCAAAGTTTGATGAATCAGACATAACACCCAGGTACCGGATCAGACACGCAGCTGAGCCCATGGCCAACTTCTGGTCTGTCAAAGGCAGCGAACCAGCAGCACGATCGTCCTTGAGCAACCGAGGCAAGTCTTGCTCGATGTCTTTTGTGCCAAAATCGGCCGCTGCTCGCTCTGCCACTGCACATCCGCAGTTGTCGGCGATAGTCCGGAGCTTGCTGAGCTCGACATCCTTCTTTGTTGAGTCCAGTTGTACCAGGCACTCCTTCACACCCAGTTGAATGAGTAGTGACTCGAAGTTGGAATAGAGATCATTGTCAAGAAACTCTGAAACGCCCAACTCCCGTACACTTGCATCGGCAAAGCATACACCCACCCTTCGTGCCTCCGATGCCTTGGCCGAAACCTTGACCGCCAATATTATCGGAGCACTCTCAATCTGACCGCCCAGCTCATCCTCCAGATCTTGTAGGTTGCCGGGCGATGCCTGTTTGACGACTTTCCAGTCCATGCGCTTGGCTGTTGACTGCCAAATCTCAATGCGTTTGCTGAGTCGAAATAGAGCGTCTCGGAGGAAGTTGCGGAAAACGGTGACGGTCATTGTGACGGACTCGAGTCCTGGTTCTCGTCCCAGCTTGCGGATTACGGCTGTGGTTTTGTAGACCTGGAGCAATGTCAATTTGTTGATCATGCACTAATCCTTCACGAACAAACTTACAGTATTCGCAATGAACTTGGCATCCTCGCCGTGGGCGCTGTAGTAGTCGCCACGGTCGAATATGCGCACCGTCTCATTGTCCTTTTCTTCTAGATTGCGAAAGAACTTGCAGAAACCGGATTCATCCTCCTCCTTAATCTCTGGTCTAGACGCCATTTTGAGCTATGCAGTAAACGATAAAGGCAAAGTTGAACACAAGAACGATTGAAGGTTGATGCAAGTGGAGTTGATGATTGGATACGCTATCCGTTAATTGATTCAGACGCGTCGACGCGTCGCCTCCACGCCAAGCCTTGTTATCGATAAGCATGGCTACTTAAGGATTATGACACATCTTCCCGTTCCATGATTGCATCTTTAAATTATCAATGACACGCTGAATAATGCAACAATGTCTCTTATCTTTCAGATTGGATAGTGGATTCACAAAAAAACTAGTGCTACTACAATTGCTTCTCCAATGGACACCAGGAGTATTTAGCATCTACTCATCCCATATAACTTCGACAATCGCCAAATTCGAGCCCTGAGGATGATGCATATTACAAAATTTGAATCTCGCATCTGCATCATGTATCAGAGTCTTCCAATCATCTAGGCTGCGTTCTTTGGCATTTCCAATTTCCAACATGGTCAGATCGATACCCCTAAATAACTGATTAGCGTCATGGCCGCTGATGAATGCAAGACCTGAGTATAAGTACCTAAGTTTTCGTTCCAAATTATTGGGAAGAGTTCCGGGAGGAGGCATGACTGTATCTACGATCAATAGCCGCGCGCCCTTCTTCAACGCTGGTATCAGCGCTCTTAGCGCTTTGAGACAGTACTTGTCAGACCAGTTGTGTAAGGTCCAGCGATAGTAGTAAACATCAGCGTCTTTGACTGGTTGCTCTTCGAAAAAGTTGTGTGCCATGAATTTGACGTTCAGTCCTTCTTGTTCTTTCGAGTTTGCAACAACTTCGGGCAAATCTTGCACAACTAGATGGAGATTGGGATATTTCCGCGCTAGTGCAAAAGCTGCATCGCCGTGAGAGCCGCCCATGTCGACAACAGTTCCTGGTGCTATTGAGCTCCATGAATATCCACCTGTCAAGTGGCGAAGTGAAAACCCGTCGCCGGTGGTGAAGAAACTCATTCCTTCGCCAAATCGACGAGCTCGCTCCGGATCACTGGCCAAGGCTTGGTAGAAAGACAACTCGGTTTCGTGTCCCAATGAGAATCCCTAGAAGCTGTTAGTCTTCTGAATTCATGGTCCTTGACGTGGGCATACAGTGTGGTTTGGCTCGGCGGCCTCGGGCCACTTTTCCAAAGCATCCACGAGCTTTTCAGCCGCCGGCCACATCTCGTCAACATTTGCTGCAACCCATCCTGCTGCGCGAGTATCATCTGCAATCTGTCTTGACGCTGCTGAGTGTTTTATAACGCCAGGACGAGGCTCTTGGAATACACGGTACGTGATGCCCATGCGAAGGATGCGTGTAAGAGCCCCTTCATCTATACCAATTTCCGCTGCGAGATCTTTGAATGTTCGCTCGCCGTCCACCGGGACTTTATGGGCAATGTCGTAACGAGAAATTAGTTTAAGATGTGCCAAAATATTGTGCTGGACGTCAATCAGCCTGAAAATCGCTTTGGGGCTAGTTCGAGTTGCGAACCTGGTGATTGAAAATCAGCTCCCTGGGACCTTGGAGAAGATCATTCAGTTCCTGAGTTGCCTGCAGAACGGCAACACGTGACTCTTCGATTTCGGAAGGCAAGCCTAAATCGACCGGACCATGAGTATCAAAAGATGGCTGTGGAAGGTTATTGCCGGAAAGAAACTTGTCCACTCGAGTGGTATGATGGGAAATGGTGGCTGCCAACTCGGCTATGCGGCTTGATGGTGAAGACATGGCGACGAATGAATCTCCAAAACGGAGTAAATGGTCTTCCATCCCGTCTCTTATACAGGAACTACCGGCAGCAAAGGCAACTCCTTTTATGTTAGCGGTAAACTAAGGGGTTTGCTCAATCATCAGCTCTCTGTCGTCCTGTAGTGCATATGCGCCCCCAATTGAGCAGGGGTCTAGTGCATCGTAAGCCGTATATATTCTATTAAGCTTTTACGAGTCCTAAAGTGGTAAAATGCATTAGCGGAGTGGACCAAGTGAGCCCACAAGGTGTATTATCCGATATTGGCGCGCCGGTGATTCGTTGGTGGCGTACGAGTTGGTGGGGTGAGGGAGCGTTTCCCGCCCTCTTAGCAAGGCCAGACACACCCAAAGACTTATTGACTGTCATTGTGAGCTGTCTTGCTTCCTGATTTATCAATAAGCAGATAGAATGGTTTCAGTTCGGGCTGCGATACATAGGAGAAGATCTTGAAATAGCAACGCTACTGTCTAGAAGACTGAGGGGCTAGATGTGGAGGTGGGTCTAGAATTTGCTGATAAGGCAACCCACGTTTCCCCACATCTGCATGATTGGAGAAAGATGAGAAATATTTCACATTATTTCCATAATGTTGAGCCGATGCAACAGGGGGTGAATCACGAACTCTTCTATTGACTGTGAAACTTTTGAAATTGAAGTTTGTTTGAATAGTTCGCCACTCAGTGTTCACACCCTCTACAATCCGGCACAAATAGGACAGCTCCGAATTACGCGTCCCAGTGGCCAGCCGTAGGTAAAGAGCGTTTTAGAACATTTCAAATCGCTGTAATAAGCGGGAGGATATTGGCATTGCAGGTTCGTACACTAGACTTAAAATCTTGCATACTTCGCTTGGTCGGATTGCCGTCTCAACGCCAAGTCGAATTACTAGGTGCATCACAATCGAATGAATGCAAATTCTCCATCGTTGGCTGTTTGGCGATGCGTATTTTAGAATCATGAATGCGGTCATTTAAGTCCCTTCCGCGGCTCTCGGCGCTCGGTCGATTCAGTCCACTGTGAAGTAACTGTGAAAGCTAGCGAATTGATCGATACGCCTCTCTGGGCTATAAATGCGCATAGGGATATTGGTATGCAGCTGGTAACGCATTTCCTATAGCTTCTCCTCTATCTCATCCAGATATTGGCGAGAAAATATTGTTACCACTCAGCTCTGCTTGACGCCAAAACATTATCTCTACTAACAGCCATACTACTCAATGCAGTTAGTTTTGTAAATCTATCGTGTTTACCAAAACCACGCAATTGGAGAGGAGATTCGCTTATTGTAAGGGTTGAATGATGTCCAAATTCCGATCCTTGTCTTCCGGCACTTTTCTTTGTGTTTACTATCAGTGAAAAAAATAATTCACGATTCGACATCCGCCATGGCGACAACCGCCTGGCATGAACGTTGAATATGGATACCATACCATCAATGCAGGCACTGCCCAAGCTAAAAAACTCAACCAAAAACTCACGCAACAAGCAAAAAAGGAGAAGCCCGACGTGGGGGTCGAACCCACAACCTTGAGATAACCAATCGTGTCTAGTAAGGACGTGAAAGCTAAGAGTCTCACGCTCTACCGATTGAGCTAGCCGGGCTTGTTGTTTTTGATGAAAGACCTCACATTTGCTGTTGTTATGTTTTAATCACGAAATCTTTTTGGCAGTCATCGCTCTACAAAATATACGTTCTCGGTTGTGCTTCGTTCCAAGGTTGTGTGGTAGTAAAGAAAATTTCGTATGGCTAGGTGGGGCCAGTAGCGGCGGCGGCGGCGATGGGTCGGCGAATGTCATTCCGAGGACACTGCGCAAAGTGTCACCGGCAAGCATATTTGATTACCATTAGCTCAGTTCTCCCATACGATATCCTAGGATGTGTGATAGTTTCGAGACAAGGTCCAGCGAGGAGATTAGGATTGCCCTGGTATCCAACATGATCGTGGTATCATGGTACTACATGGCCATATTACCTAGTTGGCTTTGCAACGCAGTAACGCTTTAGATCATTCAAGCATACTATAGAAACAGCAGCGCAGGTCTCTGGATTGCAGTGAGCGATGTTGAGCTGCAATTCAATGCTAGTCCCGTTGTCGGTACTAAAAAGACCTTCTTGACACGCTGGTATTGCCACCTCCTGGTTTGCATGAGTTGATACCACCCAGCTTGGCCGAGGCTATACTAGGAACGTTTCTTCCAAGATATGGGGAGGTCATGCTTTCATATGAAGCTGATGTTGTTTGGAGTACTAGACGGCAGCCGTCAGGCGATGTAGGCATAAACAATGGACATTGATACGTCTCCACCTGAGACAGGTGAGATAGATTGATAAAATATGAATTGGCAGTTTTCAATGGAAGGCCTGACTAGAATAGATTGCTGTTCTCAGTGTTGACATGTAGTGTTATCGCAGCTGAGGACACCTTACACATGTCCACGCCCTAGTGACGCACATGAGCGCACGGACCCCACTTACTATCTCATCCTGATACTGTCCCTGGGCACAACTGTGAAGGCTGCATACATTCGAAAAAGCTCTCCGTTCACTGTTCAGTTTGTTTGGACTACCACTATCGCCACCGAATAGGCCTCGCCAAAAGTTACCTTGCAACAAGTAATCAGACATGTCGAAGTTTTGTCTCGAAGTACGAAACGAGGAAGGAACGGCATTTTTGAATAGGACTAAGTGTACATAGGCCGTGAATCTGTGAATCGGATATACGTGGAAAAAGGCGTCGAAAGATGGTGACATTTGAGCCCAATCATCTAGGCCACTAGTAGTTATCTCGGATATAGGGAAGACGATATCTTGAACGCCTCGCCATGACGAGTAAGAAGGACGCTAATCTATAAAGTACCTTTTTTTCGAGCTGTTCACCCAGGCAACATTAGCGATAAATCACTTCCTCCCTGACCAGCGGCCATTCTTGACTTGATGGTGGAGAGGATCACCGGCAGACTCAACCGCCTGGTTTCCACGTCTACTTTCTCTTCCCAATTTTCCTCACGCGCCGCAGAGCGCGACAGCAGGTGATAAGATTCAAGAACTTCGAATACGATAAATGTAACACACAGACTTTGTAGACGGTATATGCTGTTCAATCTGTAATTTTCCTCTGAAGAAATCTATTTTGACGTAGATACCTCCGCTAGCGACCACAATGCCATGAGATATATCATCGTCGCCGAAGAATCACATCCCGCCCGAGCTGTTTCCGCACTACATCGGCTGCCTGTCATGGTTTTCCATGTACGAGCAGCTCGATGCTCATGCCTTTCTATATTCGCTGACTTCTTTTCACAAAGTTGTCAATCTGGTATCGAGAAAATACAATTTCTTCAACTTTACTCATCACAATCATCGCGACAGCATGACAGAATCGGTCGTTGTCGAACGACTGGAAGGCGCTCCACTACTGTCTTTTCGGCTGAAAGACTATGCCAAAGCTGCAGGTCTTGAACTTGACTTTGATCGGATGCGCTACTAGAGAAGTACAGAGCGGAACGCGACAAGCGCTACAACAGCCTGGGCCTTGACCAATATCGGCTGGTAAGGTCTGGTCTGAACGACTTCGTTAGTGACCCATGGGCAAACCCCGATTACAGGCGGGATCCCATTAACCATGTCTACGACGTACTTATCATTGGGGGTGGCTTCACGGGTCTTCAGGTCGCCGCTCGCTTGATTACACTTGGGTATCATAACATCTGCATGTTGAGAAAGTTGACGATATTGGGGGTACTTGGTATGGACTCTCCATTGAATTGTCCCTAAAAATAAGGATTTTCTAACTTGGTAGCTAGGCATTGGAATCGTTATCCAGGTGCTCAGTGCGATATCGAGTCCTACATGTACATGTCTTTGTTGGAAGAGATAGATTATGTACCTAAGAAGCAATATGCTCGAGGACCAGAGTTGTGCAAGCATGCTCACGCCATCGCGGACCACTACAACATCCGGCCGAAGGTTTTATTCCAGACAGAGACACAAAAGTTGATTTGGAACGACGAAACCTGCCTCTGGAAGGTAGAAACAAACTGGAACGACAGCATTCATACCAAATGGGTAGTACCAGCTCTGGGGCCTTTGCAGGTGCCCAAGTTTCCGGGTGTTGACGCTCAAAAGTTTAAGGGGAAAGCGTTCCACAGTTGTCGATGGGACTATAAGTACACCGGAGGTAGCCCTGAGAACCCCCAGTTAACCGGTCTCAAAGACAAACGGGTTGCAGTCATTGGAACCGGTGCATCGGGTGTCCAAGTCATTGCCGAGGTGGGAAAATGGGCTAAGGAGCTAGTATACGTTGTTCAGCGTACCCCCTCTTCCATCGACGAACGACGCAACCAAGAAACGGACGTCGAGTGGGCCAAATCCTTGCCTAAGGTTTGGCAGACAATCCGAATGGAGAACTTTTCATCTATCATCAATGGGGAAGGCGTTAAGAAGGATATGATAAAGGATGGTTGGACAGAGATTCTGACCAGCTTGGCAGGATTCTTCGGCACAAGTGACGGCAATGCTCCTAACGCAGAACAGATTGCTGCACGCATTCAGATTGTTAATTTTATGAAGATGGAGTCAATTCGCAAACGTGTGGACTCCACAGTCAAGGATCCTAAGACTGCTGCTGCCCTCAAGCCATGGTACAGCCAATCCTGCAAACCCCCTTGTTTCCATGACGAGTATCTGCCTACCTTCAACAATCCCAATGTGAAGCTCATTGATACGGATGGAAAAGGCGTCGAAGCCATCACCGAACGAGGGTTTGCAGCCAATGGTGAAGAAATCGAAGTTGACTGCATCATCTACACAACCGGATTCGAGTGGAACACGGACTTCAGCAAGAGGACTCGGACGGAAATTATCGGCGTTAATGGAGTGACTCTTACAGAAAATAGGAAGACAAGGGGATTTCTACGTTGCATGGTTGGGCAGTCAATGGTTTACCCAACATGACGTTGCTCACCATCGCGCAAGCTGGAGGAACTCCCAACTTCACGCACAATATATACATGGCTGCCGAACACCTCACGTACGTTATGAACACAGTCAAAGAGCGTGGAATTGTGGCCCTCGAACCTACTCATGAAGCTGCTGAGGCGTGGGTCCAGGAAGCGGTCGATTGTGGAGCGTCTCGACGCAAGTTCTTGGCAGAATGTACCCTGGGTTTCTACAATGACGAGGACAAGCTGGACGACAAGACATTCCGCAATCAGTCGTATGATGGGGGTGGTATTAAATACAATGCTGTTCTCAAGAGGTGGAGAGAAGATGGTAAAATAGAGGGCATGGTGGCTCGTTATGCTTCTGAGCAGAAGAAGTTGAATGGGAAGTAATTTCTGCAAGCTTTTGGAGAGATTACGTATCATCAGATTGGTTTCACTAGCTGTGAACTAAATACAGTATTCATATTTCACTAAGAACTGTGCCTTTCGGTCTTTAGACCATCGATATCCCAGTATGACTATCAACTAAACTGCTTCTTTTTCGCTTGCAACTACAGTATCAGATGTCAGAACACCTAAAGGTCTCTTCTTTGCCGCGGCTAAGAAACACCTAAACGGAATTCTCATACGTGTGTGGCTCCAGTACCTAGTTGGGCCAGACCACGTACCATCACGCTAGGGAAACTCTCTACTCTATTAGTGTGCAAACAGAGAGCCGAGATGCATGCCAGAGCTCCCGAGCAGATATAAATGGGTACAAAATGTCTTTGGACACAGATGGGGGTTCAGTTAGAAGTGATTTCGAGTGGAGACAAATCTACCGGAGATTGATTGTTTACCCATGGTTGTTCTCTAAAGATTTGCAACGGCTGCCCAATAGTTAAAACTTGGTCCTCCTTCGGGTTCGACCTTACGGCAAAATCGCTAACTGAGGTTTTCCATAATGACAGCTTAAGCTTTACATGCTTTTATAAAACGGCCGTCGACTAGTGCAAAGTGGGGGTTCTTCACAAGAGCAATCATGACTGCACTAAATATTACAGACGCTGATATTGGTAGGTTCTGTCGTTATCTAGTTGATTCTATCTAACATGTCTAGGGGAGAAGCTGAGGGGGAAATCAGCCATCGTGACTGGAGGTTCCTTTGGCATTGGTCTAGGAATCGTTCAATATCTAACCAAATGTGGCGTCAGAGTATTAAACGGAGACATAAAAGACCCAAGTGAGGAGGTTAAAGGAGTATTGTTCCAGAAAACCGATGCAGTAAGCTGGGAGGATCAACTCGCCTTGTTCAAAAAGGGGGTCGAACTATTCGGTCGTATCGATATAGTTGTTCCTAATGCTGGCTTCAGAGATCGTGGTGACTATTTAGACTATAAAGATTCCATTGGGAATCTTCTCAAGCCAGAATTTGCCTGCTTGAAAGTTACTTTGATTGGGCAGATGTACACGGTTAAACTGGCTATGCATAATATGAGGAATCAGTATCCTCAGGGAAGTGTTATTGTCTCCACTGTCAAAGCATTCCTGTATATGCCGTCTCGAAACATGGCATGATTGGCCTCATGAGAGGACTAAGAAATCACACGCCGACCTGGAACGTTCGGATCAACTTAATCGCTCCTCATGTCACAGACACGGCTTTGCTTCGGTCTGTTCCAAATCTAATCCCAGGCTTGATCCGGTTTGGTATTCTCGTGTCAACAGTTGAAGAGACGGCCAGAGCTACAGCATTCCTAGCCGCCATTGAAGATTACAACGGCTCCACAATCAGTATCATGGGAAGCGAATATCGAGAACTGGAAATTGGGGTTGAAAGACACAAGCGAGATGTTATGGGAAATGATCCAAGGTTTAATATGACTCCAGAGCAAAAGGAGGTCATAAGTAAGAGTCCTTTCTTCTCTGACCGCTTTTGCTAACAATCCTAGAAAATATCTTCGCTCCTGTTTCAAAGTGATAGGAAGTGAACGAAGGACGCCTTTGATACTGTTGTAGAGGTGTTGAAAGACTGTGTATATGTTGGAGTTGAAAAATTACAACGAAGGCCTGCCTAAGGTAGAGGTGTAGATATGCAACAGAACAGTGCAGAAAACCCAGGTAGTACACAACTTGGTGGATCGAATAATCCTTTAAATGCTACCAATTTTCACTCCTATGTGATTGCACATTAAACCTCTTGTGTCTTTTCCCTATCCGTAAAAGATTTGATCCCAAGTTGTTTATTTACTTGTGATCATTGATTGGAAAGGATCCGACATACATAGTAATGAAAGAATGATAGAAGGAGTAGAAATATTGGCCTTTTGACGCCAGGTAATTCCAAAATAACAAAGCTGTGTGCATCTTGCGATGTATGGACCGACTAGTGGTCTCCGCCCTGACATGTGGTCGTGCCGAGGACACCCAGCATTGTCACTTCTCGGTAGTATTGCGCTGGATCGGCTGCCGCTTTATTTGGATGTCTCTTCGGTGACCAACCTTGGACAAACTCGTCCATTAACAAGGCCGAGATTATTACATTTCAAGCAACCAAGGTTGCGTGGTACCGTTCAACAACTCGAGAAATCTTCCTTTTATAGGATTAGGCGGGCTTGCCCGCTATATCCAGGCTGGTGGCCGATCATCGCAGATACATTTATTAGGTTTTATATTTAGGAGGACCATAAAACATATAAGTCCTCGTCCGGTGCCCGATTAAGGAAACTATATTATCACAACTCTCTAAAGCATATGTTCCGACACTCATCAAACGTGCTTGAAAGCTCCAGCCGTTTTCATTTTACCCCAACTACAATATCATCACCTAGAATTCGGTTCTGAAATTCGGCAGTATGGTCGGTACAGTTGTACCTGACGAAGAGACACTTTCATCCTACTCGGTGCCGTCTGAATCAAAAAGATTTTGGTAGCCCACCTACTCAAAAACCCTAAGATTGTCAAATAAATCCCTAAAGAAGCTCACCAATTTGCCTCCCGTATCAATTTCGAAGGGAGTGCCCTGTCGTCGATTGTGATCAATTGGCGCTTTGCGGAGTCCATTGCCTCACTGAAAGCGTTTGAGGCTTGCATCTTGTCAGCCCTGTTGAAGAGGAAGTACAACGTTGAGCTCAGCGGTGCTAACATCAACACCGATCATGCACAGCTATTCTTTACATTTCCCTTAATATGGACGATCAACTCAGAATCAGAAGCTAGTATATCGCTTAGCAAGAATATCAGCAGTCTAGACTAGTTGATCCCAAATTATGACTTTCACAAATTGAGCTCCAGCTTGTACCGGCTCAGCACCACAAACATCTACCGGACACGGGATGGGCGATTTTTCCATCTCCACTGCAGTGTGAATCCTGATCCGACCCTTAAAAGCCTTTGGGTTGCCTTCTGATCGGCCCGAGCTCAAGGCCTGAGAGGAAGCGACGCAGCCATTCATTCAAAAGGTGGCGACTATGAATTCGAGCGATCTGCAACATCTCGTCTCCGACGTGTATAAGCAAGCTGGTGTGGTTACGGAAACTGTCGACTCGTTCCGCGCGACTGAACACGGCAAGGCCAATGCACATGTAGGTCTCTTCGAGATTCAGTCTGTGTTGAATCCAAGTCATAAGCTGTCGTGGTGGCCTCCGACTGCCGAAACTTCGCCTAGCAGACCCCTCGCAGGCCTCAAAGTTGTCGGTCTGATCCGTATCATCGCTGCACCCGCAGTCACCAGGGGTCTCGCTGAGTTAGGCGCTAGTGTCATGCGGGTCACGTCTCCCAATCTAATTGACTATAGCTTCCTACACATTGACCTAAATTGGGGTAAGTGGAACTGCAGCCTTGACCTGAAGATGGACGAAGGAAAAGAGAGCTTGAGAGCTCTGATTCACGAAGCGGATGTCGTTATGTAAGGCTGTCGACCAGGTGTATTGGATAAATATGGCTTCGGGGTGGATGACATTATCGACTTGGTCCGAGATCGTGCTCGCGGTAAAATCTCAGTATGTGAAGATTCCTACGGCTGGCATGGTCCGTGGAGTGATCGATCTGGGTGGCAGCAGATCAGCGACGCGTGGGTAGGCATTCCTGCTGGATTCGGTAAGGCATTGGGCTTGAAAGACAATGAGCCCGTCACGCCCGTGTTTCCAAACAGTGATTACATGACGGGTATCTCTGGGGTTTGTGCGGCACTGTGTATCTTAATCCAACGCGCTGAACAAAGCGGTAGCTACAAAGTTGACATCGCCCTAGATTGATACAATCATTGGCTGGCGGATTCTGTAGGCGAGTATCCTGATCGAATTTGGCAGGATGTATGGAAGCGTAACGGGAAGCAGGTTTTCAGGTGAGTCAAAGTACTTTCCGTGTTGGCAAACTGGGATTAACCCTAACCAACAGGTCATACCACAATCTGAACTACACCTTCCCTCGATATTTTGAGATGATGACTAAGAACAGTGAAATTTTCGACCAAAACTATTTCGAGGATCGCCAAAGCAGGGCTATAGATGCGACAGTGCGAACGGTGAAGCCGATTGTCAAATTCAACAATAATGAGATCCAGTTGAGGTATAACGTGGGCACGAGAGGTAATAGAAAGGATGCACCAAGGTGGCCACAGGACCTGATGACGGAGGTTGTAGAATAGAAAGTACACTGAGAGATTCAATGAGAACTTGCAAACTCAAAGAGCTTCGGTCTGCCAGAGTGAGGACTAGTATGCAAGATAGAAGCCAGAATTCGAGTTTTAAGGAAGACTCTGGACTGAGTACTATAACCAAAACCCTTCAGAACTGTTTGTCACATACAGATTTTGCAGTGAGATGATTCTCTTCGTTGGACACACCAAGGGTACTACAGCAAACGTCCTCATTCCCTTCTCACGAGTTGATGGAATCTCGAAACGTCGAATGAAGCATTTGGCAGCCTCGACTTAAATTATTTCAGATTAGACTAGAGATCAGTAGATAGTAATCAACAATGACAGACTACATAGGTAACTGAACCTACTGCCAGTGCGGCACATTTCTTCGTGGGCTTAGATAATGATTGATACGAGGCGAAAGGGAAATCAACTCGTCGTTCAGTCACGTGTAAGCAGCAGATATGCTTAGCATATGACAAGCAACCGAGGTGGTGTCAACGAGGCCCCAGTCCCTCCTGCCGAGCTTACCTTTGTGCCGTAGTAGAATAGCTGTTACACGAAACTTCACCTTCTCCCAGTAACATACCCCGAGAGTGCTTGTAATCTCCACTCTGTCATTATTAACCGAAACGTAGATGCTCAAAAACAAAAGGAAGTCCTGTCATTTTGAGACCAAACTCCGAGCGAAGGATTCATCCACATTACCCAACACTACTTCTTGCTGCCCAATCCAATGCAGCCATGCCTCGTCAGTTGGAATGCGAATATTATATGACTATCGAGCCCATGATACCAGTCATAGCGGCTGCCCCGAAGCGTCCAGTCCACGACGTAACCTCCAGACGTGTAGCTATCAACACGCTCTTGAGTAGCAGCTGCAACAATTTACCTGACATGGACGACGTTAAAGAAATTGAGTACCAGTTCACGACCAAGGATGGGCAGAATCTCTCCATATACTTTCATCAGAAGAAAACGAGTCAAACATTTGGCGGCCTTACATCAGCAATCCATTATTGTCATGGAGGAGGCATGATTCTTGGAGGTGTTCAAATCTACCGGGGAGCATTGATAAACTACACGTCCAATACAGGTGTGCCCTTTTTTGCTGCAGAGTACCGTGTCGCCCCACAACATCCGCATCCGACCCCAGTTGAAGACTGCTATGCAGGCCTTCTTTGGTTGCAAGAACACCATAAGGATTTCAATATCGTTCTATCCCGTGTTGGAGTCATGGGAGACAGTGCTAGGGGAGGTCTAGCCGCTGGTGTGGCTTTGATGGCTCGAGATTGCGGATTGTCCCCTCCGCTAGCCAAACAAATTTTGATCTACCCTATGTTGGATGACCGCACCACTACTCCGGACAAGACCATTGAGCAACTGGTCTCATGGTCATACGATGATAACATCACTGGATGGACCGCCTTATTAGGTCAGAAGATCGATGACGATGATGTTTCACCGTATGCACCGTTTACTGGTATACTTTCTGGAAATACTCCTGAAGGCTACCCCTGGTGGACTCCTGTTGATATTGGTTACGAATATCCGGAGGAAACTTCGGAGACATCAAAGTTATAATATAATCTACATACTCATGACGGGCCTTGCTAATCTACGCCGTATACGGGGTGTGGAAACTAATGTATACTAAGCATTAGGCTTAGCAACGGGGTAAACCCCCCCGCTGAGCTTGGTGATCTAAAATGATGATGAGAGACGTGAAAGAAACTTCTTGAATGAGCAAACAACTATTTGTCCCTTCGTGCAGTGTAGGTAGAGACTGGTTTGCAAAGCATGTCAGCCATTTGCAGTCACGAAGCCAAGCGGCACTTTCATCGTGCTCCAGCTCTATGTCCAAGGCTACTCCACTGGGATCATGTCCTAGACCATCAGCGATAAATCACTTCCTCCCTGAGTAATGGTCGTGGTTCACTTGATAGCGGCGGGGGCGCCGGTAAGCTCAACCGCTTAGTCTCCACCTTTACTTCCCTCAGATCTGGTTCGCGTTCCAGTTCAGCTGCATCATGGTATGTGCCTACATGCTTAACTAGACTCTCCACAGTTCGACAAATCGCATCTACTTCATGACCTTTGCTACAGATTGTACACGCATACTCGCCATCTGGGGTATGACACTGGACAACGAAGCGCTGTGCGAGACGGAACTCACGGGTGTCGAATACCTCGGATTCGTAGCCGGTGGTCTTGTCCCAGACGGTGATGGGCGTGCGTTTTCCAATCATCCAAAAGTCCTCGCTGGTGACGTCGAGTTGGAGGCCACAGGCGGGACATACACAGCTGCCTCCTGGGGCGAAGCTGGCGGCCAGGGGCTTATTTTGCATGCGTTGGATATCTAGAGCATAAGGGCAAAAGAGTTGCTCGGGTCCATCTAGAACAGCGGAAGGAGCGCGTTGTGGAGGCGGAAGAGAACGCAAGGGCGATGCAGATCGATGAGAGCCGTTGCTGACCTGTGAACCTCCCAATCGCTGTTGAGCTTGCCGGAGGGCTTCGAGGGAATTTTCGCGAGCTTCGTTGGAGGCGTTAATTAATTTCGCCATGTCAGCGCGGGTGAGTTGACGATCGCTATAAAGAGCGTCTTGGAGTACACTAATCACTGTCTGCTGGAGCGCTATGATTTGCGCTTGTAGCTGGTTCTCAATGATTGCTGCATTGAGGTCAGCACTGGGCCTATTGTCTTTGAGTGAGACACTTACGATCGCCTTGCGCGAATCGGCTGCCAATACGACCGTAGCCTTGATCGTACATTCTCTGCACCATCATCATGTCTCTCTCAAAGTTGCTTCCTACATCATCTCGTCCTCGGCCGTTGCGGAGCCGATCAATCTCCTCCTGTCTTTTTTCTGCCTTTTGCTGGGCTTCCTCAAACTGCATCTTCAACTCCTTGATCTCGCCATCCTGTTTAATATCGCGCTGTTTCTGTCTGTGCTGAGCACGTCTGTCCGCAATGCGCTCCCATAGACCTAGAGACGCCGTAAAGGTGCCGACGAGAGTGGAGGCTAATGTAGCTACAATGAAGGTTTTCTGAGCGTGTCAAAGTCAGCTTTGACCGCGTGACTGCATGTCGCCAGTATGTACCTTGAGTTTCTTCTCCTCTATCCACGACGCGTAGTTCATTTTCGCTGCAGTTTCCCTGGGGCCGTTCTCTTACTCGCACGTCACTCGCCAAATACAAATTGCAGAAGAAGCGAAGGCGAATTGCAGAATTGAAGAAGTATATCAGCAGCGCACCCACTCGAGCCCCGCAATGCTCCAGCTCTTTGTTTTTCTTCTAGCGCGTGTAGTCACAGTTTTGAAGTAGCAAATGACACGACGGGATGAAGGTGAAGAGGGCGGGATTAAAGCGATTGTTCTTGTCGCGCACAATGACGCACACTGTGGTACCGCTTAACTTGCGACGCAGCGAGTCGCATCCGAGCCCTAAGATTAGCCGTGCATTAGCATCGAGAGCAGCTGATTGCACGATACGCCGCGTAAGCATCAAGACAAGCATAGCCGCAGCTGGCTGACCGCCCCTCTCGGGATATGAATGTGCTGTGTGAGCCGGGCCAGCAAAGGGGGAGTAGAATGCACAATGACGTCATGCAGCCAACCCCGCTAGCTTCTCCCCAGACCATGGGCATCTCAGCCTCCGACTTGTCTATCTAGCCACCAAGAATGCCATGCTTGGGCACCCTCACGCTGGCCTAGCGGGAATGCCGCACGATAGTCTTCGCAGATAATTTGGCGGCTGCTACACACGTGTCCCTCCCCCGCATTCACGCTATACTTGCCTAGCACCCATGCCTTCCACACAATACAAGGCCGAGCTGATCCAACCCTTTAGGCTGCGACTAATTTCTGGAGTGATGAGAAATACAAATACATGGCCATGGAAGACCTTGTACACAACGCTCGTTTTCTGTGCCCAACGAGACTGGGTAAGCTGACTACAATCTTCCATGAGAGCTGGGGTTGCTAGTTTCGTTGGGCAACAATGCTGTGGAGCCGATCATCTGTATCATCATGTCATATCGTTGCACAATAAGGAACCCAGACCTTTGGGCCCGAGACCCTTGACAATGTACCGAGAATGGCGTTCAAGCCAATCAGTAGCCAGACGACTATCCTTGAGAACAGTACACCCGCCTGGTAGGGAAAGCATCTACTTCATCTAAGCGCTTTAGCCGATAGCGGCTCGTTCCGACATCTTGGCAATTTGACTGTCATAATATTCACTGTTGTAGCAGAAAAAACGGGATGTAAATTCGTTCGACTACTTCTGGGATATGAAGGCAGATGATGGAGTTGGAGCCTGTATGGTCACGTGATGTCTCCAGTTATTGGGTGCAAGGAAATACTATGATAGACTATGATCACTCTCCCGCCACTGACTGAAGTACTTTTAACTGAATACAAAACTGATCTCTCGCTATATTCTAAATTCCAAGGAACAGTGTATCCCACCACTCTTATAGTCACTTCCTTACAATCCCTTACTAGTGCCTTGGCATAAGGCACAAAGATCGCAGTTGCCCTCACGACAGTATCCCATCAACTCTTCATGCGTCAAACAACCGTTCCCACCCCCCTACTTACCATTCATATCATGATTAACCATCAACATTATATAATGTTCATCGAACCTTTCGGAATAGAATAACCACAAACCGGTTGTTCGCAACGCTGCATGATTTGTCTGGCCTGCTTGAGCGAGCCATCACCCTCTCTTCATTTCCTATTACGTATACAGGATATCTTGAGCTATTTCATCGTACACTATTCTAAAGACTTGGTTGCTTAGTTCTTCTGACTGACAGCCTCACGACCGCGACCATCCTTGGTGAACCTGCACTACGCTCGTCACACGAATGTTGTCTGAAGGACACAACATGGAAACGTCGCTACTGTCTTCAATTTGCCACCCCCCTTTCGCAGCTGCCGTGTTTCCGAATGGTGACATTACAATACTATTGGAAGGTCCATATCGTGCCGTCCTTGCTATGTTTGTACCAATGGTTTCGAAGAACTTTTTGAAGATCGGTTTAAGTGCTGGTAGTGAAGCCGCAATGATACCAAGATGCAATTCAGTAAAGTTCCAAATCGAATACACGTCATACTCGTCAATCGGACCGACACTAACTTGTCTGATTATGCCAGCAATTGCCGCAAGGATGCCAACGGAAAGGACCGCTATCAAGGTGAAGCGGGCGCGTCTGACCATCTGCAATCTCCAAATAAGAGGAGTCGGCAGAAGAGCAAGCAATATATCCGAGAGAATATGAATCACTGCGCCGTCAGTAATCATGTCAGAAAAAAATTCGCATAGTGTGTCTATACCTCCGTTGAAAAGTCCGATCTTACGAAACGTGCTGAGGCTGTAGCACTTTGCGTTGCCAACTCCCAATGGCGGTGGACGCATAGAATGGTTCCATCCTGCTGAAATTGGAATACATTGGAGAATCTGAAATAGCAGCCATGTTTAGAAAAAGGTAGACTCATGGTGGTGTGCCATGAGATCGCACAATCTACAGAAGGTTTTACTCACGATTGATAGCACACTACCGATCGTGAAGACGACCATGAATATGATGATACCCCAGAGGGCCCGGATGTACAGCTTCTTCATAACCAGACGAAGAAGGAACAGACAAATCGATACTTTTACCAGGCCCAATGCCAATACCACAAACACCTGGTGCAAAAGGCGAGCCAGAAGCAAATTGTGGTAGTTTGGCATATTGGCTTCTAGTAAATCAACTCGACTTCCTAGCCCAAGCGAGATCTCGGTCATGTAGGACACAAAACACGCGGTTGCAGGTATCTGTGATCAATCCATCAATACACCGATTTGAGACAGGTTCCAATCTGCGATACGTACCAATGCACTGATCATCACCCAGTCATCTCTACCAAAAGATTTAACAATTTTCAAGCGCACCCAGCAGCGCAACAAAGCGACCAACATTGCCAACACATACTGCGGTATCGAATAAGCAAGCAAACGTCTGGAAGACATTCTACTGTGAGGCGATGATGGACGGATGAGATTTTCAGAGGCAGTAACTCATGCTGCCAGCACTATTTATTCGTGTTATTTCGTCACCTCAAAATCATGTACGGCACAGTTCACAAACGTCACGTATGTTTGGCTAGGAAGGCAAAGGACTGGTATTTTTTGACACGCTTGTATTCCGTAGCATCGGAACCGAAGTGAGTAGGCAGTTTCGAAGCGGCATGCTTAAAGTCTACGCCGCATTACGCGGTGTTGGGATAGGAGAGATTCTCCGAGTATTTCTGCTCCCCTGGCTCCTACTCTAATCTTCGCGGGACTCTCATAGGTAGCTCGACTGTGCCACATACCGGGAGCTGTTGTTACTATCGATTTTGCCACTTTGCCGTGGTCATATTCAGGGGCTCACCGCTGCAATTCGCTTTGTCGATGGCTCCAGTTGGACAAAATCTCATGCGTACGATTCATGGACCGGATTTATCTCTCATGCCACGGGATCTTTTGTGTTTGAGCTGTCGGTGTTCAAATGCGCGAGGCGCAATTTGACTAGACGCTGCAAGCGTTAAGCAAGGGATCTGGCAGAATGGCATGGTCTGAACTTGATAGAGTTAGCATGCTCGGTTACCCTTATTATGCCGTCCCTTCCGTGCCGCCCCTCACCCGTTGACGGCCCCTGGTAAGTGTATAATCGCACTAGACAACTACTTACATCCTTCTCGAACCGTCCACATGGGTCTCGGCAATCGTGTGGTTCGACCATTGATTAATCACTCAACACTCATATGTATCCTCGTGGCACAGTCGCAGGATGAGGCAACTTCCTCCGGCCAGCCCCTCCTATCACAACGAGGTTTCAGATTGCGAGAAATGTCTTCGTCTGGCGAACTTGGAAAAGTTCAATGGTCTCGTATGTTATATTCTTCGTACTACACGCAAAAAGCTACGTAAAGTTTCTTCTATCGCAGATTGGAAGAATGCTACTCAAAGAATTTTTAGGCCTTACTCGCCCCACTCGGTAAACAATATCGCCCCTGGTCTGCCACCGTGTAGGCGGATCCGTACTCGCAGAGCTAGCCTGATGCCACTGACTCTGGTTCGCCAAAATGAGCTGCATCCTGCCTATCTGCCCTCCAGCAACAAAGCTAGCCATGATCGGGTAATTCAGGCTGCTTGCCACAAGTTCTTTTTGCACTATATAAAGCTCAATGGTAAGTACGTCGAACATCACGCTCTTCACCATAGCTCATTGTAGCACGCTGCTCAAGATTCACAGTAGCGAATACGTCTGTCCATCGAGACGAACTCTGCAATGAAGATTTCCACCTATCTTAACGTTGCCTTGGCCGGCAGCGCTAGCGCCAAGTTCATGGAGAACGATCAGCTTGCTGCAGAAGGCATGATCAAGCTGGGGATTCATTTAGCTAAGAATGGCATTCCGAGCCCTGGGACTTGTACATTGGACAAAGTGTCGGTTCGCAGGGAGTGGTGAGTTGGTACCATGGCTTGAGACGTAATGTCACTGACATAGGTAATACAGGGCAACACTATCCCCCAAAGAGCGAATTGCTTTCACCGACGCTGTCAACTGCCTCCACAAGCTCCCCGCAAAGACACCAGCTTCTGTCGCTCCAGGTGCAAAGAGCCGCTATGACGATCTAGTCGTCACCCATATTCAGCAGTCGCTTACCATCCACGGCACTGGTAACTTCCTAACATGGCACCGCTACTTCACCTGGGTCTTTGAACAAATGATCCGAGAAGAGTGTGACTACAAAGGCACTTTCCCATACTACAACTGGGCACACTACGCCTCCGACCCAAAAAGCGGTCCCTTCTTCGACGGCAGCGCCTCGAGCATGTCTGGCGACGGCTCTTACGTCCCCGGGCGAAACTATTCTTGTTTTCCATGGGACGGCATAGCCGGGCCCTGCTACATGCACCTCGCACCAGGTTCAGGCGGTGGATGTGTGACATCGGGTCCATTCAAAGAGTAAGTGCTACTATGCCTTTTACCTTTCCCATTTCGGTAGACACGCCCCGATCTAATACCAATTACGCGTAGTTTCAAAATCAACATGGGGCCTCTACAAACGATGCTCCAGCTTCCAGGCGGCGGTCTACCAAAGAACCCGCAAGCCAACGGGCTAGGCTACAACCCGCGGTGTCTCCGCCGCGATATGTCACAACAAGCTGCGAATGCGACGACCGACGCTGAAGTCGTCAGGCTCCTCAAGAATTACACGGACATTGCCAAGTTTCAGAGAGAGTACCAGGGCGCGTTTGCGGAGGGCCGCATGGGCGTGCATACTGGTGGTCGTAAGTTTTACTCGAAAAATCTCTCCCATTTTTCTTAGAGATTCATTTGCTGACGGAAAAGTAGATTACACGATTGGCGGAGATGCAGGCTCGGATTTCTACAATAGTCCTGCTGATCCAGCGTTTTATCCTCACCACGGTATGATTGATCGTGTGTGGTGGACGTGGCAGAATCTCGATCTTAAGAATCGCGAGAGGGCTCTCGCTGGAAGTGCGGGTGGTATTGGGGATACAACGGCGAAGAATGCTACACTGGGGGATACGTTGACCATGGGAGAATATGTGGGGTACCCGAATATTACGATTGGGGACGCGATGAGTACATTTGGGGGGCCGTTTTGTTATATTTATGCTTGAAGCTGGGGTGCAAGTGGTTTAGTAACGTAATTGAGCGATGTGATAGAAGCCCGGGTAGTCGATTTTATTCGACACGTGAGCATAACGAATACGTAATACACCACCCATCGAGCCTCGCGTTCAAATGCACCAAATGAAGCAAAGAAGACCTGATTGCACCCTATATCTTTCGAACGTCTCGAACGTCTCATGCCATTTACGCTTCACACCACTTTACCCAATACCTTTCTCTCTCCTCTCACACGCTTCCTCTCAAGACACCTCCATCCAAGAACCAAAACACAATAAATCCCCCTTATAGAATCTATAAAAGCAACCCCATGGTTTACACCACAAGAACCTACACACCCAGCAAAAGAAAGAGAAAAAAAAGAATATTGGAGAAACACAGGAAACATCGGTCAAACTGAATCTCTCCTCATTCCAAACCCGGTCACCATACTAAAGGGTACCCTTATATCCCAACTATCTATAGCAAACAAGTCCCTCTCACACTACATATATCTGCTTTCACGAAACCAAGCAAAAAAAAAACGATACACATGCTCCCATCTTGACTCCAAAAGAGTTACAGAACTAACCTCGTAATTACTCATTCTTTTTCTTTTTCTTTTTGTGGGATATGCAAGAAAGGGCGCGCTTGGGGGGGGGGGGGGGGGGGGGCTTTCTGACCCTCATTTCTCTCGTCTCGAGCCATAGTGATGATGGGTAAGAGTGCGGGGGAAGAAGACCAAGGGGGTTAAAGAAAGAAAGGTAAATAGGGTATCATTTTTTTTCTTCTTTCTTTCCGGGCTCGGGAAGAAGTACGGATGTCGTCGCTTTTTTTGTCCGGCTCGTCGAAGATGAAGAAGAAAAGAAGAAGGGGAAGGGGTGGATGGTAACAGAGGGATTTGTTTGGTAAGGGCGGTAAAAGATGGAGAGTCGAATCAAACGATGGGTGCTAGTCATCATGTATGCGACATGTGGCTCTGCCTCTCTCCGCGGAAGTTACTTTGATTATATAAACATGCACGACATAATCACGCATATCAAGGGCGAAGCAAGAGTAGTAAGTTTTTGAGGAGGACAAGAGCAAGGACAACTTGTATTCTCGTCGATGACAAGACCAGCAGGATTGTTCCTGTACCTATCGGCTGTTGTTTGCTTGACAGGTACCACAAACCCATCCAGGTCCATCATCGACGTGTCAACTCGGCTATGGAAGGAAAAGGGGGAAACAAGAAAAAAAACAACGACAGGAAGTAGGAAAAAACAAAACATTCAAAAACGCTACGTAGCTCATCCATTTTTCCATTGGGCCATCCCATCATCAACCGTCATGAAAGCGTCATAGCTTCCTCTCCATCCATTCCTTCAGTTGCCAACGCATAGGTTCAGCTTTTTTACTTTTTTTTCTTCAAAACTTCTTCTTTCATCTTTTTCCAAGCAGCCAAAGGGAAAAGAAAGAATAACCTTTTCCGAACCATGTGCCACGTAGATCCAGCCACACAACAAACAGATATGACAAGGGAAAGGGTATTACCATCCACCAGCAAAACAACAAAGAAAAACAAAAGAAGAAGTAAAAAGTAAAAAGCTCGAATAACCTCCGCGGGGAGAGCAGGTATAGTGCGAAGCTGGAAGAGGGAAAAAAATTATCAAGGGTGTTTTTTGCGCGCGTGCTGTTAAACACTCCAGAACAACAAACAGAGAGATAATATAGGAAGAAAGGGAAGGAAGAAATCAAAAACAAAAGTTGCGAACGCTACCAAAACAGCAAAGAAGGAAAAAGCACGAGGAAACAAGCACACGGCTGAATACGAGGTCGCATTCCTGTAATGGTGCGACACATTTTCTCGCGGGCCATGTTCGTGGTGTTTGTTGCGTGAGCGTTCCAATCTAACAACCAATATTACTGTGTGGTGGACAAATACTGAGTCGTTGTGAGGGCGGAACACAAGCCAAAACACTCCAAACATGAAACGCGCGAGTTGGGGAATCAAAACCAGTTTTGAGAAACGCGATCCAAGCCCAACCGATCAAAACTTTTTGTTCGTGAACAAGTTTGGCCTTGTAGAAAAGCCAGCCAAGTCCATGCAAAAGCTTTTGTTTCAACCTGTTTCCGACCCGCTAAAAAAAGGATAACGAAACAGAAACTTTTGGTATGATGAAGGAGAAAAAGGGGGGGCACGTAGCCAGTAGTCGTGTATACAGTGCTGAAGAATAGCCAAAAGTGGTCGTGTGCATCGTAGCAGCAAGCCAGACTGCTCAAGGTTCGGAGAAGCCTATTCGCCATAGTAGGAGCTAGTGTGGGCGCGTTGACGCAAAGGTCGTTGGCCACTGCTCCGTTCTATGCGTTGCTCTCGTATTACTTGGCTGTCACGCCTCCTGCGGGAGCTGCGTAGACTGTTTTCGGTCATTTCCTCAGCCTGTCTCCGCGGCTGTTTTGGCACCAATGCCTTTCGGTCGTCTGCAATGCTACCTCTGTCGCTGTTGTGGTAAACGCTTTCACGGTCGCGCCCTCCGCTGATGACCAGATCAGCCATGCCGTTCTCGGCCGGAATCATGCGGAGAGTGCGACCCTCCATGTCGCCATTGAACTGCAAGCTGAGTGGAGCGTTTGCATCGACTCGCAGACGAATCTCGTTGTTTTCGTTGGTGACGGCCGTGCGGTTGCTTCGGCTTCTCTCACTTCCCGAAGAGCCGGAGTGAGACGGCATGGAAATGGTTCTCGAGTGCCGTGCAGCATTGTGAATAGGATCGTTCAGGGGCCCAGGAGCACCGCGGCGAGCACTAATGTACTCTTCGGCGGCGCTCTCGATGCGCTTGGTCTTGTGCTCGAGGACACGTTCCTTGCCTTTGCCCGCGTCAGTTGGACGGCGGCGGCGGGCCTGAGGGGGAGGTGGTGCCGGTGCCTCGGGCAGATATTGGTCGTCTTCAGATTCTTCTGATTCAGACTCTTCGTCGCTGTCAAACGCTGCTGGGGGTTGGTAGTATTGCTTGGAGGTTCGGTTGAGACGTTTCTGCTGAGCAAGCTCGGCTTCGTATTGTTCTTGCTCTCTTCGGGCTTCTTCTTCCTCGCGGGCGCGGGCTTTAGCTTCCCTGGCGGCTTTGGCTGCCCGTTTGTCCTCGAGGTGATGGTCGTATACCTGTTCATAGACCTGAGCCGAACGACGGCGTTCAGATTTGCTCGAGTTGGCGACGACAATCTGACCACGGTGGCTGGGGTATTCGGACTGTATCTGGCGGGAGGGAGGAGCCGGTCGACTGACGGAGGCACGGCGGGAAGGCTCTTCAATAGTCCTTGAAGAGCGCTTCCTGCGACGCTCATCAATGACCAGGGACTGGGGCTGAGCAGGAGGCTGAGACACAGACATGCGGCGACTAGAACGTTCGTCAACCACTTGGGTCGTGTTGGCGTGACGCATGGGGGGTCGCTGTTGTTTTTTGCTTTTGGACTTCGGCTTTGCTTGCTCAATCTTTGGTGGTGCGGGTGCCATGAGGGCACGTCGGTTGCGAGGGTCATTGGGGTCGGGCTGCTCATAGTACTCGTCGTCGTCTTCCTCGGATGAGCCGGTCTCGGATCCGCTCTCGCTTTCATAGGCGCCTTCTTGGAGCTGCAATTGCGGTGGAAACCTGGCTTGGGTGGCGCTCTGGGGCTGACCGTACCTTGCCGAGTACTGTTGTTCACGCGACGGGGCCTGGGTGATGAGAGGGGCAGCTCCGTTACGTGCAGAGTTGAATGAGGTACGAGGCGGCATGTTTGGCCTTTGCGGACCATCGTATGGTGGAGGCGTGTGGTTGTAGGGATAGGCCCCTGGGTAGCCCTGGGGCGCACCATAGGGAACTACTGGAGGGGCCATGCCACCCATGTGGTGGTACTGGGGCATTTGACGCCATTGCGCAGAGTTGGAGGGAGGCGGGCCATGCTCCTGGGGCGGGCTCGGGTAGGGTGCGGGCATGCCCGGAGTGTAGTGTTGAGAGTTGGGCTCGCCGTTGTAAGACATTGGGCGCGGTCGTGAAGTCGAAGGGCGGCGACGGGGGTTTACGGCAGGCTGGACAATGGCAGCCTCTTGCCTATAAGTAGGGGGCCGGCGGACCTGGGTAGGCGAAGGTGGTGACTGGTAGTAGGCCGGATCGGAACGCATGGAGCGAGTGTCAGCCGAGAGACGGTCGATGTCGCGGGCAGACTGGGTGGGCTTGATGCTGGGCCTGATGTGTTGAGGAATGGCGTTTGGTCCGCAGGTGGTGCACTTGGGATCGGTGCATTCAGGTTCGACTCTGCTGTCGCGACGGCGTTCACGCTCGGAGCGTTCGGGGCGCGGGTCCTGGGTGATTGTGGGCCGGCGTTGCTTGACGAGGGGCTTGGACGACTGCGATGTGGTGCGCGAGGTCAACTTGGGTCTCGACTGTTCCGAGTGGGACTGGGTAGGGCGTCTAGTCTTTGTCGAGGGGGGCGGGGGTGGTTGTTGCTGAGGTTGGGGTGGTGGTGGTTGAGGAGCCTCTGGACGGGCGGTAGGGGGAGCGGCAGCAGGAGGGCTGCGCTGGGACGGGGCACTTTGAGCAGAATTAGTGCTGCTCACGGTGGCGGCGGTGTAGCTGCTGTACCCTGAGTCGGAGCGAAGGTCGAGGTTGGTAGGCACGCGCTCCTGAGGGGGCGGCTTTTCTTTATTCAAGTCTTCGGGGTGAGAGCGCTTGGTGGAGACGTTTGCAGCATTGGCCGGGGAGCGGCCTGGGAACTCGTAGCCTTGTTCGCTCTGGTCGGAATCGTAGTCCTCGCAGGTGGGCTGCAGATCCTGTGCGCTCGCCATGTCGGCAGCAGCAGCGGCGGCGGCGGCAGGGGGAGCAGATTGCAAAAAATGGTGGTGAGAATTGGGAGCAGGGCGGACAGGCTGTCGAGGGCAGGGAGCAGTCGGCAAAAATATCTAGCGGCGGGGCGGTGGTGGGCAATCAAACGAGACGTGGAGAGCGCATTGTTAGCAGGGGTGTGTGATTGAGCGAGGCCGTGTCAGGGCCAGCGGGCGACATGTGGAGGAGGGGTGAGTGGATGGGTGGATGTGAGTGAGAGAGAGAGGAGATGGATGCCGGCAGCGATGCAGAGGTTAGGTAGGAGTAGCAAGCAAGGCGACGGGAGGGAAAAAAAGGGAAAACAAAGACGGGGCAGGGAGGGAGCAGAGGACGGGGGGCTGAGGATATGCGAGACAAGCAAGCTGCAGACAGAGTATGACGGGCTCGGTGCTGGTGTGCAGGGCGACGGGCGCAGACGGGCGCAGACGAGCAGACAGTGGCAGATTGGCAGCGAGTGATTGAGGGAGCAGGGAGGGAGAGTGACAGGCAGGCATGCAGGCGCACATCGCATTCGGGCTTCGACACAGCAACCAGGCAAGGAAACCTTTCCCCGCCCGCCCGCCGTAAAATTTCAAAACGGCGCGTACTATATTCTGCCCTATGCCATGCGTTGCATCGGTTGGGCTCTCCCACATCTTGGGTCCATGGCGGCGGACGTGGTGGCGAAGCTGCTGCACACCAGTCGTCCTGATTGATGCGTTGCATGCATGGCCGACTCAGAAGTTGTCTGGGCAGTCTCGCCGCCGTATACTATGCATTGTCGTGTGGTGGTGGTGGTGGTGGTTATCCACTCGATGCCATCCACGCCCGCTTGATGCGCGGCCCTGCACTGCATCTCTGCATATCGTAGAGTTTTTTTCGCCTCGCCTCGCCTCGACAACAACAACAACAACAACGACACTCTAGACGGGGCTGTCATGGCCGGCCGTGCTCCCTGGTGGTGATCACTGGCACGGTCGTCGTCGTCGGCCGCCTCAGATGCGCAACATGCAGCAGCTCGAGTGGGCGTCGACGGCCAAGCTGAAACCGGCATTGCCCGGCCCTGGTTGGCTTTGGCTGGCTTTGGCTGCGAGCCGTTCGCTGCTGAGACAGGCTGGTTGGTGCATGCGCCCATCTTTCACCGCTTTGCACCCCTCGCCATGCTCAACCACCCACCCACGCCCTCGTCCAACCACGCCCCAAGCCCTCAAACACGCTGCCACTCGTCCAACTGCTCGCCGCCTGCTGATCTCTTCTCGTCCCGTCTACCGCTTGGCCACCCTTTCCTAGTTGGTCCTCATCATCCATCTGCATCTGCCGTCCACCGTCTATCGTCTATCGTCTATCGTCGAGTCTGCTGCGGTGAACGGTTGCAGGGCACACAGGCCTAGCTGCATGCCACTCTCTTTTTTTTTCACCTTTTTTTCTTTCCTTTTCGTCATCCTTGCACCCGCCATTTCACGTCATTGAGCCTCTTTGTTGATTGCCGGCTAGCCTCTTTTCTCCTGGCTCGGCCACGTCAATCGTCTCTGCCATGCAGGAACAACAAAGCACTCATGCTGCGCCGTGGCCTTCATTAATCCCCTCAACGACCCGACACGAAACATGTGTCCTCTGCTCTGGCCGTCTCGACCTCTCCGTGTCCGGTGTCGAGTCTGTCTGGCTGCCAACCCGGATGCCCCTTGCCTCGTGTCCGTCGACAAGATTGCCCGCTCCCATCTAGAATCACGCGGCTGCTCAAGCGTCGCTTACTCCGCTTAGCCGACTCATTACACTACCCCACTACGCTTCCGGTGAACAGACGCACCACCCACATCGACTCCCTCTACTCTACTCTACTCCTACCCTGCCTACTCCTATCCTACTCTACCCCAAAAAAAACAACTTTGTTCCAACCAAAGTCTCTGCTACGCCTTCCAGAATACACACCCTCCCGTCGCCGTTGACGCACACGTGTGACATTTGCCAGTCTGAAGTAGCGCACTCGCTCGCTCGCTCGCCCCCTCACCAAATGCACCTACTCCCACACCACCGCATACTTACCTACCAGGTCGGGTGCAAGTGCCATGTCCACCCGTTTGCTCAATCTACACTACTAGCTGCATTTAGTGTACCATGACCCTGCTACCCAACAGATTTTAACCAACCGTCGCATACAGCCCACTTTCCTCGTAATGGCTTCGGTCGTGTCAGAGTGCACGACTTGGACGCTGGCAGTCCACCTCACCATTCAAGTCTGATGATGCGACTCTTTGTGCCACGAGCAAAACAATGCCATTGACGTATGCTCTATAGATTAACAAAAATCATGATGTGTATGCACATTGCATCCTTCTGTCCTGTTGCTAGTGTCAGTGTCAATGTCAGTGTCAGATGCACGTCGGCCGCCGTCCTGCCACTCTGCTGTACGACCTTGACAAACGTCATGTGCCTCTGCATGACGAACAGACGGCTTCTCAAACCGCGTTCGCAGTCGTCTGCACACCCGACTCGCTCCAATCCCAGCAACCCGGATGCCAGGTTCTCTCAAACAGCCACTACGGCGCGAAACGGTTCATGTTGCTGCGCGACACTTTTGTCGCAATCCATTTTCGTTGCAACCAGTTCGAGTGTGTGTTTGCCAGGTTCCCAGCCGTTGGGCTAGCGCGGGATGGGTGGAGGAACACGTGGGACGCTCGCTAGTAGTCGAGTAGTCACTCCCGCTACACCACCCATCCCTCCACGGCCTCGTAGCCCAAAGAAAAAAAAACAATCGCTCCCGAAAAAAATTTCAACCGCGTTCGTTTCACCGCACTATGCAGGTTCAGCACATCTGGCTGCCATTCCTCTCTAGACCTGTGCGGCCCGCTAAGCTGTGACTCACATTTCTATCCACCAGCTGCCCTCTGTTGTCTCAGTATCGGCATCCTTCGCTGCCCAAAACCATCCCCATTGGGCCGCGGCTCCACGAACTTGCGGCTCATGGCTGCCCTACCGACCCACAAAGTCGCCTTGTCCGCTCTACATTTGCGGCTCGGGATGCCCAAGCAAGCCCCACCTGGGCGCCTATTGAGCCCGACATCTCTACACCTACCGCTTTTTGTTTTTTGCCTACCTCACCTACACCTACCACGCGACACGGCGGCAGAAGAAAAATGACCGATTCTCTCGGCCCTACTCCTCCACCACCACCACCATCACCACCATGCTTATCTGCAAGTGACAATACAATGCTCCGTGTCTCGGCCCATGTCGCAACAGCATCTTGGGGCTCCCTAGTCCGTGGTCAAGTGTGGACAAAGGTCGCATGACCTGCACGCTGTCATTGACTCACTGTTGCTCAACCCACCCAGTGCCACTTGGCTACATAATCTTGAACCCGAATCGGGCTCTGTACATGGTAGTATCACTATTACCACTACACGGGGACTACACTAGTGGCGTTGTTTGCCAGAGCCGCCACGCGGCAGCCGCAACCTTGCCTTGGAGTCATGGTATACACATACTTACATGTACACCTATCACCCACTTGGCCACACAGCCCTGTCACCCACCCGAGATACGCTACTGTCTCGCTCGCTAAGCCTTTTCTTTTCAAGCCCTGGAGCGGGAAGACTCGCACTAACACAAAGGGCATGCACGTGTTGAGAAGGGTTGTGAGTGATTCTTTGCGTCTTCTTAAATGGGCAAGCTGCACATCTTGGCAGTCTAATATATCACTTCTCAATCGCGTCGTTTCCTCTTTCCTTTCTTTCCTTTCTCGTCCTTACTAAGCATACAGACATGACTAATCAGCCTCAATGTGGTCTCCATCCTATTCAGATTGTTACCAAGGGCAAGCTTAGCTGTCACCATCATCATCATCATTCACATATCTGCCGACAATACAGTAACGGATTAATGCCACAAAAAACAAGAGCATTTCTTTCTTTGCCAAGAAACAAAAGAGTACGGAGAAGGCCAAGGCTATACCAGGAGGAAGCAATCCACCACGAATATACCTAAGACGATAGAGTCACAACACCAAGATGATAGAAGCGAATAAATACGACTGCTAGTGCAACAAGACGTGTCACTTCTCGCCAAAAAGTGTATGAAAAACATATATATTGACGGGTGGTCTACAGAAGCTAAGGAACTACACGTACAAGCAACGCACACAAGACAACACCGAGGGACAAGCATCGATCCATGCTAGCTGATCTATTCCTTACTCAAAAATCCACAAGATCTGACTGTGGATGCTGCAGTCTTCACCGGATATTGTGTACTTATAACGATCTCGTGTTAGGTTGTACCATCCATTGCTAAAAACCAGACACAGGACATGCCTTGAAACCCCCAGCATCTATCCAAAGGACACTCAAACAAGCTTCCTACAATCCACCCTTCAAATCTCCCAATCACAACCCATCAAGAAAAAGCGAGCGCAGAATATTGATGTCCTAGGCATCTTCGCTGGAGATAAGGGCGGGTACAGATACACTTGGTTTATCAACAACTTTACATCGAGGAAGAGATTTGCCCTCTTTAATACAAAGGATTCTTCTGGGCAATAGCAGAATAGCAGGGCCGCTGTGTAACATCAAAATTGCTGCACCATTCCTGCACAATAATGCATACAGCTACGTCAGTGGCTAGAAGATGCAAGCCACTCCAATCTCAACCCATCCATTGCCGTTCTGCGCACATTGGAGCGAAGGATCTCAAATCGACTTGGTCGACTATAATCCTTTAATTTTGGCAGAGGCTAGCGAGATGTATCCCAAACTGGTAGAGATTCTGCAGAACTGTGGCTGGCGTGAAGGGTGGGGGCGGTTCTGCAAAGTACTATGCATGACATCTTCACCGCTAACTCGCATCGCCTTGACCCCTCTTCATCTATATCTTCAGCCCTTTGATTCGATGTACAGTGATACTATGGAGCATTTATCTGCTTTTTTTAATGCAATTTCAGGATGATCCACGTAAGTGCACTTGAATTCTGCTTGGTCTTTACATTTGATGCATATATGACTTTTACTCAACGATAACAGCGTCCATTGAAAGTCTATATAAAGGGATGTCTAATGCCTCAATGTATACAACAAAGGCAACTCAAACGCTACCTTTTCTCCCTACTTTTGAACACACCTTCGCCATGGAAGGGAAGCAAAACATTGACCTTGGTGAGCTCCATGTCGTCTATAACCCTGATGATGCTAATCTCTTACTAGCATCCTTCAACCTCAAGCATCACAATGACCTCCTCTGGTCAATCAACTACAAATACGATTACATGCCAAAATACAAACCGTCCTTGCCGTTTCTGATTGACTTATCATCCTTTCCTGATCTCGAGGCCGAAAGGATCAGTGTTGAGTCTATCATCAACATCCTTCCTACTCCGACTGAATATCCGATCAAAACTAGTGAGGCTCTTAGCATCAACAGCTTACCAATATCTCCCACTGATGCGAAACTTCCATGGCATTCTTCGATCCACCACGTAAGACAGAACATACATTGGCAAACGGTTGTCGAAGCATCAAAAGTGCTGCTATACAACATTTCTTCCGACCAAAACGCAACAAGTGTACCGAATTATTTGAGAAAACGGTATGCTGATATAGCTGCTAAGGAGCTGCCAAGCTTACAAGACGGCTGAATTCGATTCAGTGCCTACATGTGGCCGGCAGCTAGCAGAAATCGACTCAAACTTCTTACCGAGATGAACGCCTACTCCTTTATCTTTGATTGTAAGCGTAATCATGCAATGAATGTCTTGCTCTTCTAACTACTTCCACTGCAGGTGTATGGGAGATGAACGACAAAGTTGCGGTAAGTAATTAAAACAACTTGCGTGAGAAGTCTCATATACTTATATTGCGGGACGGTAGATGCAAGCATTCGAGACCGAATTCGTATCGAGCCTCAAAGCTTGCGTGCCCGACAGAGAGGATGAATCTGTATCTGCCCTGCAAAAAGCCATGAGAACCACAATTAAGGGCCTTTACGACGAAGACGGCATCATTGGCAACGGAGGAGTAGAGGTCATTACGACTTTGCAAGAGTTCATTAATCACCCCCCGCCACCCGCTACATTCAACAGCCTTCGAGAATACCTCGACTATAGGACAATCGATATAGCCGTCTCGTGAGTAGCTCCCAAAATCT